AAGGATGGATTGCAGCAGCAGGAGCGGCGTGGACGCAGAGGCAGCAGCACGGGGGTGTGCGTGTGTGTGTGCAGGATATGCGGGGCTCGGTCGGTGAATGACGCCGCCGCCGGATTTCCTTGCTCAAAAATGAGTCTATCGAGCGTGCTTCGGATCCGGCCGACTCTAGTCATCAGCCGGGATGATCGCCGAGACATGCTAATCTGGGACACCCACCCTACTTCCGCCGCCATTCACTTGTAATCCGCGACTCACCACAGGCTAAACCGCCGATTACCCCTAGTAACGCATTTCGTCAGTTAAGCTCGGCACGTGACCGACTACCGTCTGTAGGTCACCGGTCTCGCCTGAGTGCACGCGCCTTGTTTTGCTTTCCCGCCGCCGCCTCGTTGCATGCATGGGTGAGACCAACTTCCGATTGCAAACAACAGCACACCCATCCGGCCGCCATGCCTCCGCCGTCCTACCCTCATCGGCATCTTCTCCTCACCAACCTTCTCGACGAACAGCCAGACCCTCCTCAAGATGCTTTCGCTGTAGGAGCAGACGACAACGTGCGCGGCTGCAAGCTGGACGCGCTGCTTCTGGCCGGGTGGTCTATCAGCGGACGAAAAGCAAAGCCGGAACAGCGTGACGGTGCGTCCACCGAGGAAGGCCAGCTACTGACACCGACTCAGCCCTGCAGCATGCGGACAACCTACGATTGAAAAAGGGCGACTTCGAAGTCATAGGCCGTATCGGCGAGGGCCAATTTGGAACCGTGCGTGCGCTGGTAGAGGAAGAGTTAACGATCCAGGTGGACGCAGTGCGGTGCAAGCTGAATGGCCAAATCTATGCTATGAAGACTATGGAGAAGAACATGGTCGTGCGCGCAGGACCTGTGAGCTAATGACCGAGGCGCGAACTGACGACAGCATCTCGCCTTGTCTTATGAACGGCACATTCACCAGCTCGCCTCCTCCAACTCCCCTGTCCCTTCCCTCATCGCCAGCTTTCAAGCGCCGACATCGATCACGCTCGTCACTGACTTTGCGCCATGCGGTTCCCTTGACCATGCGAACGGCTTGAAGAAGCTCGTTCATCAGAGCCGAACGCTGGTCGCGCGCCTTCATGAGATTGTCCTGCGCAGTGACAACGATCTTGGAAGCGACGTGGGTGAGGGGCATCGAGATGAGGGTGGCAAGCAGGCCCCAGAGTGCAGAGGTCCCAAGGAGCTGGAAGAGGAATCCAGTGGCGACGAGGATCTCGATGGGAGCGTCGATGATCGTGAACAAGTGGAAGATGAACTCACTGACGTAGAAGCGCCCTTTCTTGCGCAGGAGCTCGTACGGCGATCCCATCTCCGCTATGCTGCCCTTGTCCATGACGATGACCGTGTCAAAGTCGATGATGGTGTGCAGCCTGTGCGCGATCGTGAGGATGGTCGAGTCGGTGAACTCGGTCCGGATCGTTTCCGAGATCATCGTGTCGGTCTCGGCGTCGATGGACGCAGTCGCCTCGTCCATGAGCAGGATCTTGTTGCGGCGCAGGATCGCGCGAGCCATGCAGAGCAGCTGCTTCTCGCCCGTCGAGAAGTTGTCGCCACCCTCCGTGACGGGGTAGTTGAGGTCGGCGAAGACATTGGCGTTGCGCTCGCCGACAACGGTGGCTTCAGACGACGACGCGGCAGAAGGAGCCGGCGGCTGCGTCGCATCCTCACTCAAGAGGTGCACGCGGCGGAGGGCCTCGTAGATCTCGGCGTCACTGTACTCGTCGAACACGTCGAGCGTGTTGCGCAACGTACCGCTGAGAATCGTGGGATCCTGGGGGATGATCATGATGCGCGAGCGCAGATCCGTCAGGCCGAGGGTGCTGATGTCGACGTCGTCGATGACAATGCTGCCCTTCGTCGCCTCGACGAAGCGGAAGAACGAGAGGGCGAGCGTGCTCTTGCCGCAACCCGTTGAGCCGACAATGCCAACCTTCTCTCCAGGCTTAACGTTGAACGTGAGCCCGTGGAGGACGTCGGGCAGATCGGGCGCGTACTTGATGACGAGGTCCTTGACCTCAATCTCACCCTTGGCGGGCCAGCCCTCGGGCGGGCCAGGCTCGACGTACTCGGCCGCCTCGGGCTGAATCTCCGAGTACTCCTTGATACGCTCGAGGGCGACCATGCTCTGCTCGAGCTGGACGAAGCGGCGCACAACGAAGAGCAGGTTGTGCATGACCGTCGAGACGAAGGCGAGGGCGAAACCGGCAGTGGCAGCGGACACGGGCGCCATGAGCATGGCGGCGGCGGTAAGGCCAACGAGCGCCGAGGAGAGAATGTTGAAGCGGGCCGAGAGCCAGCGGTTGATCGTCCACGTCCAGAAAAAGCAGAGGATGTTCGTGTCGCTGAGGCGCATCATGTGCGAGAGCGCGACGGTGCTGGCGCCGAAAGCACGGAGAACTGCGACACCGCTGACGGTCTCGCCGAACAGCGAGTACAGCGGGGAGCGAGTGACAGAGTCGAGGCGACGCATGTCGCGGGACGCCTGCCCGTAGACGCTTCCGGCGCGGTAGTAGACGATCATCGTGAGCGCGGCACCGAGCATGAAGGGCCATCCGCCGAAGTAGGCGACCGTGGTCAGAGTCACGGCGACGTTGCAGCCGTAGCGCACGGTACGGACAAAGTTGTCGGCCATGCTGCTGTCGAGACCCTCAATGTCCGAACCCCCCGTTGCCAGTGAGTATTCGGAACCCCCCATTGCCAGTGACTAGTTGGAACCCCCCATTGGCATTGACTGGTGGGAACCCCCCATGACCAGTCGATGCCAGGAGCCAGGAAGCTTGACCAGGTGGACAGGGTGGATGGGGTGGACAGGGTGGACGAGGTGGACGGTGTAACAACCGTCGTTGCTCTCAGACACCAACTCCTTTTCGTGTCACGTGATTGCCCCTCGTCTTATACTTTGCTTCCGCACGATCTCGCGCTGAGTACTGATCGCGTGCTCCATCTAGTTTGTACTCCTTGAGCTATGTCATTCTTGTCCGTCGTGGCTATGAGCTCTTACTTTGACTTACCTGATTGAACCCTTCGACTAGAGAGAGTGGGTGGCGTAGTGTCCTCTGGACAGTCTCACTCTTGCTCTGATGGCGGCTACAGCGCAAATCGCTCGGCGGCATGGGAGTTCTGCAAGATCTAGGTGCACTCTACACGTTTTGGAGAATCATCTAGCTTCGGCACAGCACTCTTGGTCCACCCGCGCAGCACGGATTGAGGGCACATGTGACAGGAACCAAGGTACAAGAGGAAAGGCAATCATGTGACACGAAAAAGGAGACAGTATCTGAGAGCAACGACAGTTGTTAGAAAATGGGTAGATGTTACGATCCGGGCTGCCCGAAGTGGGTGGATCGTCCAAGGAGGACTTGAGGCGTGTGGAGTTGGCACAATCTACTGAACCTGCTGGTCAACTTATAGTGTTGCTCAATGGGCGAGTGGCGCTTGGATGGATCGTCCTAACTGTGAAGGTGTAGACAAGCGATAGGGGTGGTAGCGGTGGCCAAGGTAGGAGGGATGATGTCGAGACATGAGGTGGCAAGTGTCGAGATCTCGGCTTGAGGTGAGCTGGGTTGAAACTCCGTGTGGGGTTTTGTCAAGAGGTCTGCAGTAGCAATGGCGGAGGTGTGGTGTACCGCAGATAATTAGATCCATGGAGAGGATGTCTACAACGCAGCTCTTTATATATCTGTCAGGAGGGGCCATCAGTCCTGACTACGGGTGGCAAAGGTGGGGGTGGTGGTGTGTCTGTATACGCTGACGGACATGGCAAGCTGTATGTGGGCACTAGTGTGCACAGCAGCGTGTACAATAGTGATAGCGATAGCGGCAAAACATGTTGTGGAATGTGTGCCTGGTGGAGTTGTGGAATGTGGGTGTAGACGTGAACAGTAGCGCCAGCGTTGATGTGCATGCTGGCGTTCATGTAGGCGTAGGCGTAGACATAGCCGTACGCATGGGTGGATACGGCTGGAGTTGGTCAGGCGCCAGTACGGCGCATGACAGTAGACCGGGTTTCCGTCCCATCAAAATTCAATGGTTTCAACAGAGTTTGCTTATCCTGGCTTAGCTCCACTCCCCAATTCAGCAACACTATTAGGTGACCGACAGGTTGAGTATGTTGTGCCCACTCCGCGCACCTCACATCCTCCTTGGACGATTCACCCACTTCGTGCGAGCCGGATCGTAATAGACTGGCTCCACACTTATTGGGAGGAAAGCCTAGCACCAGTAAACTGGGGTACCACGGAAAGTCGAACTCCACTGTAGCGAACAAAATTGAATCGCTCATTGCTTAACCCATACCACTTGCAAGCTTCTGAACGTTGCCCTAACAACTGTGAACCAAGCAATGTGCTCATGCTGCAACTTTCTTGGGGTTGATCGGAATGATTAGGAAGTTATCATCAATCGAAAATTGTTGGATTCTCGACCTTTACTCCTATGGTGGGATCTGTCCTTCGACCGGCCATGGCACCCTGGTTTATGTGGCCTGACCAACTCCAGCACCTTTGAGTGTAAGATGCCTATTGAGAATCTGAGAAATGGGTGTTACTGTCCGCCTGAAGGACCTTGCACAGCCTGAACTCACCGTGATGCAGGGGTGATTCTCATCCTCAGATAGGCAGTCCTAAGCAGCAGCTGTGCTTTCGAGACCATTCCGCGTACAGAAATACCCCTCCTCAGGAGAGTGGGCTCCCGTGGTCAGGAAGTACTTCAGTGGACTGACAACACAAAAGAAGAACCTTGACGTGCAACGTGCGGGCTTACCTCCCGCCAAAGGCCAGGCTATCGAAGGTAGTGTTGAGCTCTGGGATAGTCCACTTCGATAACCGCCGCAGTGCCGCAGTCATCCGCATAGGCGGGGGAGCGAGCTCGGCTTGAGTGACTGGCAGCGATATTCGGTCTAAACATCGCAGAAGGGGGGCGGTCAGTCCAGTCGGCGCGAGCAACAAGCCTGCCATTGTCGCATTGCCCCTCATTTCCCTTCCTGGCAAACCGTCAGGCTCACGTGAGCAGTGACTCGACGATGTCTGCAGCCTCCAGTGTTACGGCAAATCGGTAGCATATCTACCCCTATAACCGGACAAAAGAGTACATTCGTGTGCGTTGTGTGTGGCGCACGCTTTTACTGGGAGAAATCTATCGCATTACTTTTTCGCGTTCTTGCGCCTCTCCTCTGCCTTGTCCGCCGACTCCTTGAGCGCGGCAAACTCCGTCTTGCCCGTCGCCTTGCAGAGCTTGTAGAAGCGCCCTTTCTTGCGCAGGAGCTCGTACGGCGATCCCATCTCCGCTATGCTGCCCTTGTCCATGACGATGACCGTGTCAAAGTCGATGATGGTGTGCAGCCTGTGCGCGATCGTGAGGATGGTCGAGTCGGTGAACTCGGTCCGGATCGTTTCCGAGATCATCGTGTCGGTCTCGGCGTCGATGGACGCAGTCGCCTCGTCCATGAGCAGGATCTTGTTGCGGCGCAGGATCGCGCGAGCCATGCAGAGCAGCTGCTTCTCGCCCGTCGAGAAGTTGTCGCCACCCTCCGTGACGGGGTAGTTGAGGTCGGCGAAGACATTGGCGTTGCGCTCGCCGACAACGGTGGCTTCAGACGACGACGCGGCAGAAGGAGCCGGCGGCTGCGTCGCATCCTCACTCAAGAGGTGCACGCGGCGGAGGGCCTCGTAGATCTCGGCGTCACTGTACTCGTCGAACACGTCGAGCGTGTTGCGCAACGTACCGCTGAGAATCGTGGGATCCTGGGGGATGATCATGATGCGCGAGCGCAGATCCGTCAGGCCGAGGGTGCTGATGTCGACGTCGTCGATGACAATGCTGCCCTTCGTCGCCTCGACGAAGCGGAAGAACGAGAGGGCGAGCGTGCTCTTGCCGCAACCCGTTGAGCCGACAATGCCAACCTTCTCTCCAGGCTTAACGTTGAACGTGAGCCCGTGGAGGACGTCGGGCAGATCGGGCGCGTACTTGATGACGAGGTCCTTGACCTCAATCTCACCCTTGGCGGGCCAGCCCTCGGGCGGGCCAGGCTCGACGTACTCGGCCGCCTCGGGCTGAATCTCCGAGTACTCCTTGATACGCTCGAGGGCGACCATGCTCTGCTCGAGCTGGACGAAGCGGCGCACAACGAAGAGCAGGTTGTGCATGACCGTCGAGACGAAGGCGAGGGCGAAACCGGCAGTGGCAGCGGACACGGGCGCCATGAGCATGGCGGCGGCGGTAAGGCCAACGAGCGCCGAGGAGAGAATGTTGAAGCGGGCCGAGAGCCAGCGGTTGATCGTCCACGTCCAGAAAAAGCAGAGGATGTTCGTGTCGCTGAGGCGCATCATGTGCGAGAGCGCGACGGTGCTGGCGCCGAAAGCACGGAGAACTGCGACACCGCTGACGGTCTCGCCGAACAGCGAGTACAGCGGGGAGCGAGTGACAGAGTCGAGGCGACGCATGTCGCGGGACGCCTGCCCGTAGACGCTTCCGGCGCGGTAGTAGACGATCATCGTGAGCGCGGCACCGAGCATGAAGGGCCATCCGCCGAAGTAGGCGACCGTGGTCAGAGTCACGGCGACGTTGCAGCCGTAGCGCACGGTACGGACAAAGTTGTCGGCCATGCTGCTGTCGAGACCCTCAATGTCCTTGGCGAAGCGGTTCAAGATACGACCGCGCGAGGTCGTGTCGTGGAAGCGGAGGGGAGCGAACAGAACAGCCTGCAGCATCTTGGCGTGAAGCAGGCGGCTTGCGCGCAGACTGCCGATGTACGTGACAGCGAACTCGACGTTATCAAGGATACAGCCCGAGCCGGCGATGATGGCGTAGCCTACGACGTAGAAGACGGCGGTGTGAGCAGGACCATCGCGGTCGTCAGCGCCCGCCCAGTACTTGACCCAGCCACGCTCGGCAACGGGAACAAGCATGGCGATGATGATACTGGCGATGAAACAGATCCACCACATGGGGCCACCGAGCGAGCGGAAGTAGAGCTGCCACACAGACCAGGCGATGCGGCCGCGGACACGCTTCTCGTCCTCGATGAGCTTACGAGGCGTCTTGACGGGGGCCGCGGGGATTGAGTCGTCGGTGATGTCGGTGATCGAAGAAGTCTCGGAGCCGGGCTCAGAGCCAGAAGGTCCGGCACCGCTAAGGCTAACGACGCTCTTGTGCTTGAGAGCCGGTAGCTCCTCAATCGTCCTTTCCTCGGCCCTCTCGCCGGCGGTCGGCTGAGACTCCGGGTCCTCGGCATCGAGCTCCTTCATCAGGCCACACTCAACAAACTGAGCACGGGTGCCCGCAAACTTGACATCACCGTTCTCGAGAGCAACGATGTAGGCGGCACCGGGGCTGACGAGAGCAGTATGGTGCGAGACGAGCAGAATTGTACGGTCGGCCATGAGGGGACCCTGCAGACAGTTCTCCATGATGAAGTGGGCGGTGTGGGCGTCGACAGCCGAGAGAACATCGTCGAGGTAAAGAACGCCGGCACGAGAGTAGACAGCACGAGCGAGAGAGACACGAGCCTTCTGCCCGCCCGACAAATTCAGACCTTTCTCGCCAATCTCAGTCTCATCGCCGTCCTCGAGAATTTCGAGGTCGGTAGTCAGAGAGCACGCTTCGATGACTTGAGCGTAGCGAACGGGGTCCCACGGGCTGGAAAAGATGATGTTGTCCTTGATTGTGGCGTTCTGGAGCCATGCCTGCTGCGGCACGTAGGCGACGTTGTCCTTGATGATCCACTCCGCCGACGTGAGCTTGTCCTCGGCCTGAGACATAGCGTCAGGCTTGGAGCGAGGAGCCTCGACCTGGCCGGCGACGAGGTCGGCCTCACCAAGAAGACCGGAGAGAAGTAGAGTCTTTCCAGAACCAAGACGACCACAGATGAGGGACAGCTTGCCAGCGGGGAAGCGGAGCGATAGGTCCGCGAGCGAGAAGTCGGGGCGAGGAGTGGGAGCGGCAGACTTGGTGGGGCTCTTCGACTCGTCCTTCGCCCAAGTGTAGGTAGCGTTGCGGAGCACGATGTCGCCGCCAGCAAAGGGATCAACGTCGGGCACCTCGGGCAGGGACATGTACTTCTCAATACGGCGGCAGGAGACGAAGCCCTGGAGCATCTGGATGAGCATCTCCGGGAGGGCGTTCAGGGCGAATCGGAGCTCGTCGAAGACCGCAATCGAGGTAAAGGCGATGGCGGGCGTGAGCTTCTCACCGCGCACAAGGGTGTAGTGCATGAAAGCGACGATGGTGACCATGACCGGAGTCAGAGCCCAGATGCAATTGAAGAGGACCTCGATCTGGTAGTTTCGCGCCTGCCAGGAAAGCTCGCTGCGGCGGATCTGGTTGACGCGGCGCTCGAAAGGTCGCTCCCATGCCATGAACTTGACCATGCGAACGGCTTGAAGAAGCTCGTTCATCAGAGCCGAACGCTGGTCGCGCGCCTTCATGAGATTGTCCTGCGCAGTGACAACGATCTTGGAAGCGACGTGGGTGAGGGGCATCGAGATGAGGGTGGCAAGCAGGCCCCAGAGTGCAGAGGTCCCAAGGAGCTGGAAGAGGAATCCAGTGGCGACGAGGATCTCGATGGGAGCGTCGATGATCGTGAACAAGTGGAAGATGAACTCACTGACACGGTCGACATCGACCGTGAACAGAGTCATAATCTGAGACTTGGAAGAGACAGCCTCCTCGTCTTCCTCCTCGTCTTCCTCGCCGCGCTCCTTCTTGGCCTTCGCCTTGGCGGCCTCCTCCTTCACATCACCAACGATTCCCTTGTCGTCTCCGCCAGCAGCGACATCCTTCTTACGCAGAGTCTTCGCGTACAGCATGGTGTTCAGCTGCAGCTTGAAGCGTCCCTGAAGATAGGTAGAGCTGATAGACCAGATAAGACCACTCAGGATGTAGATGATGGCGTTAGAGATGAACAGGCCGAAGGCAAGAACCCAGCCCCATCCAACGTTGGTGCGTCCAGGGTCGACCTGAAGGTATTCGATAAACCACTGCAGAAGCTTGTGCGGGGCATAGTAACCGACAGCAGTGATGACAGTGAGGATAACCATAGCCGTCAGCAGACGAGCATTGACCTTGGCAAGCTGCAGGAGCAGGTTGTAACCTTCCCACTTGCCAAGGCGAGAGCGGCGGCGGCCATAGACCTTTTTGAAGGCGAGGTAGTTCGGGAACGCGCGCATCGCAGACATCAGAATCGGCAGGTCCCAGACATCCATTGAGTCGCTAACCTTGGCCTTGTCGATAACCGTAGAGGCGTAGGAGAACATGAACCACTCGACGACCGTGACCTGAGCCTCTCCCGAGACATTCGGCACAGTCGGGTCGAGACCCTTGGCATCCGGGGGGATCGACTCCACAACTTTGGCAGGGTATACGTCCTTCATGGGCATGTGCAGAGGAGGACCACGGCGCATGCTGATGATGGCCCAGAGTGGGAACCACTGGAACACGGGAAGTAGGGCCGTGAGAACCCCCACGGACGTCAAGGGCGGCATCTTGAGGGTATCCGTGCGGGAGAAGTTGAGGAAAGCGTGAGGGATGAAGTCCGTGGGAGCGCGAGGGTAGGGCGTGCTCGGGAGGATGGCGAGGAAAGTCAAAATGATGAACTGGGTCGAGAGACCAGCGAACAAGTGCCATGTTGTGGGCCAATGCGTGCTCGTCTTGTTCTGTCCAAGGTATTTGAGGGCGAGGACGACCGTGATAACATGAGCCGGCGTTAAAAGAATGGGGAGCAGGATGGTGCGAGCTCTCTCGTGCTCTTCGAGGCCCTTCGAGGAGATGAGGGAGAAGATCAGCAGGCAGATGTTACAGATGACCGGAGGGACCATTGAGACGAGGAGCCAAATCTTGAGCATACGCTCATGCCTCCAGAAGGAGTCCTCGCGGACGGGGACACCATCTGAGAGGGTCACGGGATCCTCGATCTCGAACGGATCCGCTTGAGGTTGAAGAGACCCATCGTTGGTCGGTAGTTGGACACCTCTCCGGTGAAGGAGAAGGTATAGCGGAGAGTCTTCCGCGGTGGTGAGGTATCCGGAGAAGCTGACGAGTGAGGTGAAAGGTATGAGCGCCGTTAACGCGATAGCAAAGGTTGAAGCCATGAGTAGAGGGTATGATTAGGGGAAAGTATCGTCGAGCAAGAGCACCTGTTTTTAACAGATGGGACGGGGCGACGGAGTCGACTCGATCGATTGATGGAAAGGACGTCGAGGTCGGAGCTTCAGGTCAGAACGACTGGTCCAGTGGAGCCCTTCAGTCCGACTGATCGAGAAGATGTACGTGCCTTGAAGGTGGTGAGGGTGAGGCAAGGTCCGAGGCGAGAGAGTGGGGCACGGTGGTCAGGTGTAAGGAGGTGTGACAAGTAGCGTGGGAGTGAGAGTGATGAAGGGATAGCAAAGTTGACTCGAACAGAAAGAGCAATGGAAAGGATGGATTGCAGCAGCAGGAGCGGCGTGGACGCAGAGGCAGCAGCACGGGGGTGTGCGTGTGTGTGTGCAGGATATGCGGGGCTCGGTCGGTGAATGACGCCGCCGCCGGATTTCCTTGCTCAAAAATGAGTCTATCGAGCGTGCTTCGGATCCGGCCGACTCTAGTCATCAGCCGGGATGATCGCCGAGACATGCTAATCTGGGACACCCACCCTACTTCCGCCGCCATTCACTTGTAATCCGCGACTCACCACAGGCTAAACCGCCGATTACCCCTAGTAACGCATTTCGTCAGTTAAGCTCGGCACGTGACCGACTACCGTCTGTAGGTCACCGGTCTCGCCTGAGTGCACGCGCCTTGTTTTGCTTTCCCGCCGCCGCCTCGTTGCATGCATGGGTGAGACCAACTTCCGATTGCAAACAACAGCACACCCATCCGGCCGCCATGCCTCCGCCGTCCTACCCTCATCGGCATCTTCTCCTCACCAACCTTCTCGACGAACAGCCAGACCCTCCTCAAGATGCTTTCGCTGTAGGAGCAGACGACAACGTGCGCGGCTGCAAGCTGGACGCGCTGCTTCTGGCCGGGTGGTCTATCAGCGGACGAAAAGCAAAGCCGGAACAGCGTGACGGTGCGTCCACCGAGGAAGGCCAGCTACTGACACCGACTCAGCCCTGCAGCATGCGGACAACCTACGATTGAAAAAGGGCGACTTCGAAGTCATAGGCCGTATCGGCGAGGGCCAATTTGGAACCGTGCGTGCGCTGGTAGAGGAAGAGTTAACGATCCAGGTGGACGCAGTGCGGTGCAAGCTGAATGGCCAAATCTATGCTATGAAGACTATGGAGAAGAACATGGTCGTGCGCGCAGGACCTGTGAGCTAATGACCGAGGCGCGAACTGACGACAGCATCTCGCCTTGTCTTATGAACGGCACATTCACCAGCTCGCCTCCTCCAACTCCCCTGTCCCTTCCCTCATCGCCAGCTTTCAAGCGCCGACATCGATCACGCTCGTCACTGACTTTGCGCCATGCGGTTCCCTTTGGGACCGCATGTGCGAGATGCCCCCGGAGCCCGGTCTCGACACGGGGAAGATGCCGGAGAACGAAGTGCGTTGGTGGGCCCGCCAAATGGTCAGCGCGATCGCATGGCTGCACGGCATGGGTTACGCACACCGTGACATCAAGCCCCACAACTTTCTGCTCTTGACCGACGGACGGCTGTGGCTCACCGACTTCGGCTCGGCGGCCCCCGCTAGGAACGGCATCGTCGCCCGCAAGTACTGCGTCTTACCTGCGGGAACACCTGACTACGTTGCGCCCGAAGTGCTCAAGCTCGCCGAGGACGCCATGGTAGAGGCGGCCCAAAGTGCAGATGAGTCAATGGACCGTACGATTCGCCCGAGCGACCTGGAGGAACTGCCCGGCTACAGCACAGACGTTGACTGGTGGTCGCTCGGAGCGACGCTGTACGAGATGGCGGTCGGCCGGGCACCCTTCTGGTCGCCGTCCATCGGAGGCACGTACGAGCGTATCATCCGCTGCGATGTGCGGATGCCCGACCACCTGTCGCCTCACATCAAAAGCCTGCTCTCAGGGTAAGCTACAGGATCAAACATAAACTGACGGCAGACTCTTGAGTTCGAGCGATGTACGCCTCGGGCACTCCGACGTGTCTGAGATCCGCAAGCACCCATTCTTCTTCGGCGTGGACTGGACTAAGAAGCCAACTCCCGCACCTCAGATTGCCCCGCAGCCGATCGACCTCGGGACGCTCGCCGAGTCCTTCATGCACGATTTTGACGACGACTTCTCCGACGTCACGTTCGACCACTTCTTCAACTCTTCACCTGGCATCACGTCCTTCTCGATGTCGATGTCCGTTGCGGCACCTCCGGCAGTGTGGGAGCGCTGGGTGGGGTGGTCATGGGACCCGCCTGCGGACTTCTTCGGGGAGGGCCCGCCCGTGCTCATGTCCCCCACGACGCAGTTACCGATCCGGCAGCACTCTGCGCCGCCGGCCAGTCTCTTCACGCCGCTCAAGGGTGGCCTGCACGCCACGCCCGGCACTGCGCCGCGAACTGCGCCGCGTTCGTGCCCACGCACGCGTCCCGTATCGGAGAGGCAGGCGTATGCGCAGCTCGTGCAGTGCGTACAGGCAAGTGCTAGGAAGAAGATTGCCTCGTCGACCATCAAAGTCATCCCCAGTTCGGTTGAGACGGCGTCATCGCAAGCCTCAGTGCCGTGGGGGAAGGAGCAGCCGCCGACGCCGACGCCTATGTCACGCGACACGACCACGGGCCGGCGCAGCCGTACACCCAGTCTCATGAGCCACTCGAGCCTGACGAGCCGGTCTCGGCACTCGCGCACCGCGTCCCGCTCCAGCCGGACTGACGAGACCTTCCTGTCCAGGCTGACCGAGACGACAGAGAATGACCAGGAGAACGTTCCCTCGCGTCCCGTCAGCCGACTCAGCGGAATCAGCGGCATCAGTGGCGTCAGCGGGATCAGCGCAGCCAGCACAGAATCTACCAAGTCGGCGGGATCCGCGAAGGGGTTGGCGCCGCCAAAGAGGGGCCCGACGAGGGAGCCCCTCAGCCCTCTCGCTGCGAAGGCGAAGCAGCCCCCGCCGCCGTATATCGCCCCGACTGATCCGGGAGGCAGCGATCGCTTATCGTCGCTTGAGACGTGGCACCGCTCACTCGAAGAGAGCTTAACAAACCTCGAGCAACGCCTCGGGTACATGCAGTCGCGGTACCCAAGCAAGTGAACAGTTGTATTATAGAAGACCCCGTTGTACATTCCATTCAACATACTCAGCAAAGGCTCACAACATGCATCAATACACTTTGTCTAATGATTTGGCGACAAGCTTTTCTCTCTAAAATGAAGAATGAAGAGATGGGACGAGAAGAGGAAACAGGCAGGAAGCTCAGCAGACGATCACTAGTCGTCGCCGAAACGGTCGGGCATGACGAGGGGCGCGACAAGGCTCCAGGAGTAGAGCGCGTAGCAGATCCACGAGGATACGATGCGCATCCACATGGTCGCCTCAGAGCGGCCGATGTAGACGTCCTGGTCCTTGTTCTCGAATACAGATGCAAACTGCTCCTTCGGGTCCGAGGGGTGTGCGACGGGCTCGGTACTGACGACCTGCCAGTCGGTGAGCAGGCCGGCCGTGTACATGGCGGCAATGGCGAAGATGACGTGGAACCACGAGTAGTTGTACTTGGTGCCTGCGCGCTCGTCGTCGCGGTCCTCGCCGACAATGCCGTCGATCTCGTCCTCGTCGTCCTCGGGCTCATCCAGCACCGACGCAGGCAAAGAGCCCGCATTCACGGCCGCCAGGATGGCCTGGTACCGCATCTCGTCGCGCCGGCCCTTGGGCTGGTTCGTGACCAGGCGCACTTCGGCGTCGTCGTCCTCCGGCAGCGCGATCGCGCCCGCGCGGTGGCCCTTGCCGACCAGAGCCTTGGACTGCGTCGCGGCGCGCGTCGTGCTGTACGCAATCGCGAGGAAGGTGAAGAGGGCACCCAGGATCACCGTCGTTGTCTTGGTCCCGCTCGTCGCCTTCTGGATCGGGTTGCAGTGCCCGTCGTCCGTGTGGTTCACGACCGCGGACGAGGTCAGGTACGTGCAGTAAGCCGCGACCATGGACGCCTGCGTCAGCCCGCTCTTGGGGTTCGCTTCCTGCACTGGTCCGCTGATGGCGAGGATGGTCACGACGACGGTCATGACGAGGTTGGCAGTGACGAAGAACGTGTTGAGGCCGCAGCCGCCGCCAGAGAAGAAGACGAAGAGCACAATGGTGACCACGAGCGTCGCGGCGTAGAGACCGAAAGTGGAGCCGACGAGGATAAACTGCCACAGGTTGCTGTCTGTGCGTTCCCAGTTGTCGAGACAGGTCTCTGACCACGTGTGCGCGAAGTCGACGAGGAGCACGAGACCGATGAGAATGAACACGAACGCGCCCAGCGGTACGATCCACGCGCCGTAGAACATGAAGAACTCGTTCGGAATCAAGAAGGCAATGAAGCAGAGGGCGAGGTAGGCGATAATCTTGAGTCCCCACCAGCCGTTCTGGATCGCGGCGCGCTTGGCCTTAGTGCTCCGCACGCCGATGAGGAGAATCGAGAGAATGATGTGGAACAGAGTCAGAGCAAACAGGAACCGGTGCGCCGCCAGCAGGCCGTAGCACTTGCCCCCGCTGCAATCCATCTTTATCCAGTCCCATGACAGCCGCTCAAGCTGTTTGATCATGATGTCGGTCCGCATCAAGTACGCCATCATCGCCGCGAGCGCGAATATGAGCTGTGAAACGTCAGCTGGAGACACGTGAATCCTAGCTTACGCCATAGCCGACACGGGTCGCGATCGAGCTGTTGCAGTTGCAGCTCTTGCAGAACGCCGACGCGGCCGTTCCACCTGATTTCGTCAGTTACCTTTGCCACTAAGGATAGAGATGGGGAAACTCACCCATGCAGACCGCGAAGCAGCTCAAAATCGAGCTGCCGATAGCTCCTGCACCCCCGATGATGGGGATCGAGAGAAGCGCTCCCATGGTGATGTATCGCTGTTGGAGCCGGTGAGGAGAGGTAGGAGGCGGATGAGGCCGAGGTCGGCGGAGCATGCTTGGGCTTAGGGTGAGGGAGTGATAAGGTTGGGTGAAAAATGACGTGGGATGACCGAGCTCAGCGCGAAATGTCTGCTGGCCGTGGCTTGGTCTTGCGAGCTACTTTCGAGCAAGCGTCGAGGTCGAGAAAACAACATTGACGAACACCACCCCGCCCGTCCCCACGACACAGTCGCGACAACTACCACTTCAATCTCCCCGACTGCGAAGCGTAGAGAGGGGCGCCGCCGCCCTTGCTCTTGCAGAACGAACAAGCCATACCAGCCATGGCCACCCAGTCTCCTCATCTGACCGACATCCCCCAGGCTATCCGCATTGCCGCCAGCACAGATGCAGTCGACCCCGCACTCAAGCAGCAGGCCCTAGACTACCTCACCAAGGTCAAGGAGCTCTGCGAGGAGACCTGGCAGGTGAGTGGCGAACCTTGTGATACTGGCACCGGAGGCGACTCTCGACCTGGACGCGCACGCACTTTTGGAAGTGGTGACCCGCAGTGTCACTTGGAGATCGGCACGCCTCGTCTGGCACACCTTATTGGCGTTGGATTCGAAGCTGACATGGCAGGACTGTCTTTCTCTCTACCTCCAAGGAGCAGGTGCGCCTGCCGCCGGACAGCAGGGACGAGATGGCAAGGAGAAGCTGGACGCAAACCTGCGCATGTTCTGCCAGCAGGTCGTCGACACTACCTTGACGAGGAGGTAGGTTTGATATCGTCATACGGTCTTATCTAACGCCAGGCCTGATGTCATGTCCTCGGACCAGCAGCAGGCCATGTACAAGGCCATTGTTGAGTTCGTGCAGACGGAATACGTGAACGGAACGTCAGAATCCGGACAGTCGTGTGAGTGTCTTTCGTCATTGATCTCGTTCTCTGCAGTTGCTGATGACATTATACAGTCCTTCGCAACAAGCTCAGCTTCACGATCGCCCACCTCTTCCTCAACGTCTACCCGAACGTCATCCCCACCTTCCTCCACCCTTTCCTCGCCCTGCTCGCGCCGTCAGATAGCGGCAACCCGCAGGTTTCCCTCCTTGTTACCCACTTGCTCCGCGAGATTGCTCAGGAGATCCACGACAATGTCATCCGATCGGCCCGCGCCTTCAGCAAGGAGCGCCAGCACCGCGACGGCGTCATCCGTGACGTTATCAGGTCGAGTGGCGACGAGCGTCTTGCTGTGGAGGGCATGCTGAAGCTCGCTGGCAAGGGTCTCGAGCTGAGCAAGTCTGACCCCAAGTGGCTTGAGGCCACGCAGATGGCGCTGAAGACCTTGGCGTCTTGGGCTCGTAAGTTTTGGCTCAATACGCCTCTCAAAGAAAGCACCGCTGACACGCAGCCTGGGTGGACATCTCCGTCTCCCTCACTCCGGATACCCTGCAGTTCTACCAGAGTCTCATTCAGGCTGGAGAAACGTCCCTGCGCACGGGTGCCGCGGCCATCGTCCGTGCACTGGTCGCTAAGGGTATTCGGGATCCTTCCGAGAAGCTGCAGATGCTCAAGGTCTTTGACCTCGTCAACTTCCTGACGCCAGTGGAGGCGGCCACGCGACAGTCAGCCAAGGATGGTCCAGAAATGGTCACCTTCCGTGCGACGCTCGCGGGCATCGTCCAGGCCTACGGCACGGAGCTCATCAAGATCGCCGAGATGCCTGAGGCACCGGAAGCGGTCCGGGAAGAGGCTGACAACCAACTGAACAACTCGATCCAGCTCGTTCTTTGCTTCCTCAGTGATAGAAACCCTGAGGTGCCGACGGCGATTTCAGCTTTCGTGTCCGACCTCCTGCGCACCTACAAGCGGTACATTAAGCCGGCGCAACCTCAGCAGCAGCAGACGAACGGACGTCCCGGCTCGTCGCAGCCCGCTCCGGCACCGGTCCCGCTGCCCCCAGGAAAGCGTCAGTTTTTGCTGTCTGTCCTGGAAGTTGTGGTGAAGCAGCTCGAGTGGCCGGAAGATGTCGACTGGGAGATTGTCCAGGACGAACAGGATGCGGACGAGGCGGTCCTGGCCTTCTACGCCATGCGCCAGAGCTTCCGATCTGTTGTCGATAACATCGCCGCTATCGATAAGACTCTCCACACAGAGGTTGTCGCGAGCATCGTTGTCAACACTCTTGAGCGCCTCAGGTCACAGGGCCCCTCGGCTGTCCCCTGGCAGCAGATTGAGCTGGCGGCGTACCTGGTTTACACATTCGGTGAGATCTCGAAGAGCAACTCGCGCGCGGCGTTCTTCGAGCTCCCTCCGGAGCTTGTTTCCAAGCAGGCTGTCAAGATGACGCGTACGACGGGCAAGATCGGTGAGGACTCTGGACGGTCGACACCAAACGGGTCCGAGAACCCAGAGGTTGCGCTTGACACGAGCTCCAAGATCGACTACGAGCAGTACCCTCTGACGCCACTCGGCCAGCTCCTCAGTCTGTGCGTTTCCTCCAACCTCGCCTCGTTCCCGCACCCATCCGTGCCTCTCCAGTACTTCGAGATCGCCGTGCGCTACGTTGACTTCTGGAAGGTCAAGCAGGGCGCGATTCAGCCCATCTTCGAGGCTCTCCTCGACTCTCGCGGTATTCACCACGAGGATGAGGCTGTTCGCCGTCGTGCCTTCTACCTCCTCGGACGCTTCATCAAGGAGTGCCGCTTCGAGATGGCTCCTGGCATGATCCCCATCATCCTTGAGAGCCTGAAGGACATGCTGCAGATCCGTCCCAAGTTCTCGACCGCCGACGCCAGCGAGGACCCGCTCATGAAGGCTGCCACCGGCAAGAGCTACTTCGCGGACCAGCTACACCTCTTCGAGGCTGCGGGTGTGCTTGTGTACCTCACCAAGAACGACCCGTCCTCCCAGATGAACCTTCTCGCGGCGATCGCCGGACCTCTCATGGCCGGCATCGGCGCTGGAGTGGAGCAGTACCGCAGCAACCCTAGCGACCAGATGGCGATCCTCCACGTTCACCACCACCTCCTCGCCCTCGGCCACTTCGCCAAGGGCTTCCCCTCCGTCTCCGACGACCAGGTCGAGGCTCAGCCATACCAGCAGCCGTTCAAGCAGATGACGGATGCTCTTCTGCAGGCTCTCGATGCCATGAAGACGCAGCGTGTAGTGCGTGACGCTGCCCGCTTTGCCTTCTCCCAGTTCGTGTCCGCCATCGGCTCTACCATCGCCGAGCTCGTCCCACGCTTCGTCACCAGCGTCGTCACGGAGTTCGAGCCGAGCGAGCTGGCCGACTTCCTCTCCTTCCTCTCGCTGCTCATGCACCGTCTGAAGAAGAACACCTTCGAGACAATGGACATGCTGCTGCTCCCGCTGCTCAGCCGCATCTTTGCCGTGCTCCAGAACCCGGTCACGGGCACGGACGAGGCCGTTATCCACCAGCGCCTGCAGGAGGCGTACCTGAACTTCTTCACTGCGCTGATGAACTCGAACCTCGAGGGTGTCTTCATCACGGACCGCAATAAGCCGGAGTTCGAGAACCTGCTCTCTGCGCTGATGGACCTCGCGACCAACTCGGACGACTCGCTTTCTCAGCGCCTTGCCTTCAGCTTCTTCGCCAAGAGCATTGTCGCGTGGGGCACGTCCATGAAGGCCGTGCAGGAGCCGAGCGTCTTCGCCGACTCTGCCATGTCGGCGCTGTCGCAGAAGGTTGCCGCCGGTCTCGCGCAGCCGACGAACCAGCACACGATCAGCAAGGAGCAGCGCGCCGAGCGCGCCCTGCCAGGCTACGAGACGTTCGTGTACCAGCGCCTCGTCCCCATTGTGTTCTCGGTCCCCGCCGACCCGAGCTTCAACATTCGCGGCGCCCAGCCCGTGCTCTACGAGATGGCCATGGTGCTCCGCAACACGGTCCAGGCGCGCGGACAGGAGGGCATCGACTTCCTCCTGAACGACATGCTGCCCAAGATCGGATGCCCGCCCAACGTCGCCCAGACCCTCGTCGAGCACCTCCGCACCCAGCAGAGCAAGGACTTCCGCAAGACGTTCACCGACTTTATCCGCGCCATGCGCTCGTAAGCTGCGCGTTGATAGCCACCCCACTCGCATCCCTTTCTTCCTCCTTGTTTCGGTGTATCCTTACAGCAAAGAGCAAGCAACAGAAAACGAAAACCATCCCCACAGCAAAAAACAGAAGACGTGTATGACCTTAGCGCTTCGCGCCCTTCGCATCACATGCGCTGCGCTCTCGCCCCGCAGCGAGCGAAAAAGAGACAGCCGCATTTACCACTGTCAATAATCATTCATCATTTGGTATCTCTTCTCTTCCCTCTCCATAGCATCTGCCGCCACGAGACGGCCCCATGATCATCTATTTAGCATGGCCATTGTCCATATGCACATAGTTGCTACCTATGCATGTGCCAATACACAAATCCCCGCCACTTGCTTGTGACTGTTCGCGCAGGTTTGCACGCGCTCCGTTGTTTCATGTCTAAATTTCATACAGCAGCTAGCTCTAACTACGGAAAAGAGAGCCACTTATACACTTCGGTTTGTGTTGTTGGTGTGCGGCACAAAAAGAGAGGGAAATGGCCAATGACTGGCTCAGTGAGGAGAGGAGAACTATTAAAGCTTCAGAAAGAGGAAACGCGACTTACCGACCGAACTCTGCAGGGTGGCTTACTCCTGGAGTCGGCGGAAGGTCTCCTGGATCTCTTGGTTGAGCTGGTCGAACTTGCCCGTAATGTCGCCCTCAGTCTGCGTGTTGGGGCTCTCGAACTTCTGCTGCGAGAGCTTGTACATGACGTCCTGGGCGCTGTCGCGGATCTTGGAGAAGGTGACCTCTCCGCCCTCGACGGCCTTCTGCGCGAGGTCGTTGAACGTGATGAAGTTCTTGAGCATGCCGACCGTCTTGTAGAAGGGGCAGTAGCGGTCGTACTCGGAGATACCGTTCTGCTGCAGGAAGTCGTCCTTGAGCATACGGGCGACCTCGAGCGTGATCTTGTCACCCTCACCGAGCGCCGACTTTCCGACAAGCTGGACAATCTCCGCAAGGTCCTTGTCCTTCTGAAGAATCTCCTTGGCGCGCGTACGGATGTCGACGAAGCCGGGGTTGTGCTTCTCGTAGTGCGGGTCGAGAACATTGAGGTAGTTCGAGTACGAGACGTTCCAGTCGACGGACGGGAAGTGCTTGCGCTGGGCGAGGGTCTTGGAGAGACCCCAGAAGACCTGCACAATACCGAGGGTGGCTGTCGTGACAGGGTCGGAGAAGTCTCCACCGGGAGGCGAGACGGCACCGACGATCGAAACGGTACCCTCACGCTCGGGAGAACCAAGACACTGCGCCTTACCAGCACGCTCGTAGAATCCGGCGAGCTTGGCACCGAGGTACGCAGGGTAACCGGAGTCGGCGGGCATCTCAGCGAGACGACCGGAAATCTCACGAAGAGCCTCGGCCCAACGAGACGACGAGTCGGCCATCATGGCGACGTTTTGTCCCTGGTCACGGAAGTACTCGGAGAGGGTGATACCGGTGTAGATGGACGCCTCACGCGCGGCGACGGGCATGTTCGACGTGTTGGCGACAAGAGCGGTACGCTTCATGATCGGCTCCTCGCGGCCATCACGCTCAAGAGTGAGCTCGGGGAAGTCCGCCAGGACCTCAGCCATTTCGTTGCCACGCTCTGCGAGTGATTAGCTTTGGCAAAGCGTCACGGCAGCTAGACTTACCGCCACATCCGACGTAGATAATGATGTCGGAGTTGGAGAACTTGGAGAGAGCCTGGGAAATGACAGTCTTTCCGCATCCGAAAGCTCCGGGAATACAGGTTGTACCACCCTGAACGGAGGGGAAGAGAGCGTCGAGAACACGCTGTCCGGTGAAGAGAGGGTACGAAGCCTTCTCCTTCTGGGCGACGGGACGAGGAGCACGAACGGGCCAGAGCTGCATGAGGGTGTGCTGGGTCTTCTTGCCCTGGAACTCGGTCTCGAGAACGACATCCTCGACGGTGTACGAACCCGCCTCGGCGATGTGAGTGATCGTACCCATGGCACGGGGAGGAAGCATGATCTTGTGGTTGTCGACGAGCGAGTTCTCGTAAACGGATCCGAAAATGTCACCACCAGAGATGTGGTCGCCGACCTTGTAGTTGGCGGGCTTGAAGTCCCACCTAATCGTGCGGGAGAGCGCCTGGGTGTTGATACCACGAGGAATGTAGATCGACTGCGACTTCTCCTGAATCGCCTTGAGAGGACGCTGGATACCGCTGCGTCGTCAGCACTTCGCCATCCCAGGACATGCTCACTCGTAGATGTTGGTCATGAGACCAGGGCCCAGCTCAACGGAGAGAGGCTTGCCGGTACGAAGAATGGGGTCACCAACAGTTACGCCCGAAGTCTCCTCGTAGACCTGGATGGTGGCGCGGTCGGCTTCGATACGAATGATCTCACCGACAAGCTCGTCGTGTCCGACACGGACAAGCTCGTACATCGCACATCCACGCATGTTCTCTCCGATGACGACAGGACCGGAAACACTGTAGACAGCGCCGAACATCGACTCGCGGTCCTCATCACGGATCTTGGGGAGGTCGCGCTGAGCGCGCTCCATTGCACCGGCCTATAGAGTCAGCTTTTGATACTCAAGGCGTCCGCAGATGCAAAGCATGGGAACTGAACGGCAAACATGAAAACCCCACAGAGCGCATTGACGATCGCTGGTGATCGAGGTGACCAACTTCGGTATGAACGTGGAGAGGGCGATGAGAGCACCATAGCCAACGAGCATCGACAGCTCCACACAAACGCGGCTAGCCATTTCACACACTCAGCCCAGTACTCACCATGATTTCTGTCAGTAAATGCTCAGTACGTTGTACTGTGCTCGAAGGAGTAGTAAGCGATGGGACTGCCCGATGACCTGGCTGAGGTTGGCCAGACACTGCCCCTCCCTGTCCTGTCGTCACCACGCGCCGTCAGCTAGCCCACCCTGAAATCCACGTAATTGTCCTTATCACTTTCAACACGCCGGTGCCGAGATTGCCAGTCCGAGGAATCTAGTTGAACGCCCTCGGCGATCGACCGACGGCGATCAGATGGATAACTACTTAATGCATGCAGAGCGCACCAAACAAACCCCCATCGCGGCCGGCTCTATGTTGCCGACACCCAATATTACATGCTACAATCTATAATCTCATCCCATGAGGTCGACCAGGTCAGCGAACGCATCGTTCTTCTTCGGCTGCTGCTGCTGCTGCTGCTGAGCCTGCGGCGTCAACTGAGCGGGCTGCTGTTGAGCTGGGAAGCCCGAAGGAGAGGAGAATCCGTTAGATGACGTCGGGACCGAGTAGCCGGGGAAGTTGCCGCCGGCAGGGGAAGCCGATGCCGAGGGCTGAGAGCCGCCGAACAGGGGAGGGGTGGGCTGCGACTGCTGGAAGAACGGCGACTGCGACTGGACGGGAGGGGTCGAGGTCTGCAGAGATCCCAGACCGCCAAGGCCACCGTACTGGGGCTGGGGCTGAACCGGCTGGGAGGGCTGGTTAAAGAAGGCCATCGGGTCCTTGCGGGGCTGAGAGGGTCCCGACGAGGTCGATGGTCCAGGTGCCGGGGACCCAGAGGGCGAGGGCGTGGCGAAGAGGTCGAGGGGAAGACCGCCGGCGGTGAACCCAGGATTCGTGGTGGAGGGGGCCGCCTGCGATCCACTCGGAAGAGCAAGACCGCCTGACGGCTGCTCGTCGTCGTCGGCGAAGGCATCGAAAGAGATGAGGTCGTTGCCACCACTCCTCTGCGAGCCGGCGGCGGCGCCAGGCTGGGGAACAGTAATGTTCCGGGCCGCAGACCAGTCGCCGCGCTTAGCCGCCTCGAAGCGCTCGATCGCAGCATTGATGAGGTCGTTGCACACCAGCAGCTTGTCCATAAGGCCCTCGTGCTCTCCGGTGTCCGTCTCGATCCATCGCTGGATTTTTGGCCGAGCACCCTTGCACGCCGCCGCCACCTGGTCGTAAACATCGCCCTCGACCCCGATCCGCTCATCCTCCTTGGCGTTGTCGAGCATGTCGTTCAGAAGAACGGCCTTGCTCTGAACCTTCTCAAGCTCCTTAAGCGTCTCCTTCTCATAGTCGACCGTCTTGTCCGGCTCAGCGCCGGCGAGATACTTCATCAGCTCCTGAGCAGCCGCGAGATCGCGAGGCGTTCCTCGGCGGATGAGCTCCTGGAGCTTAGCGCTCTTGGCCGCTCGGTCCTCCTCCTCGAGCTCCTCGGGCGACTTGAGGTTCTCGTTGGGATTCGAGTTGGCCATAGCGCGGGCAGCGTCGAAGGCCTTGAAGCGGTATCCCTTGTAGCTGAGAAGACGGTGCATGTCGCGGATGTGGACGAGGTCGTCCTTGTATTTTGACGTAACACAGATCGTGTTCTTCCACTCGTGGATCATCTCAAGGATGCGGCCCATCACGCGGCCTACCACCATCGGAGGTCGCTCCGGGAACCGACGGACGAGCTCGTTCAGGAACTCCTTGGTGCTGATCTGGAGGTGAATGGCGTAACCGCAGTGCTTGACGAGGTAGTCGAGAACAGCCAAGGCGAGAAGCGATTGGTTCGGGTTGCGCGAGTTGATGTACACAAGCAGAGCCTGCGTCGCCTCACGGGCACTGCATGGTTAGATAGGCACAAGAGAGGTGTATCTTACCTGTTGGCCCTCTTCTTGTTGATCACCTCGGCGAGCTCGACGTTGACGACATCGTTGCTGGACAGGAGAGTAGGGTCACACGCCTGGTCTGGGCGCTACGTCAGCATGGCGCACGATGCGATCGGGCTGAGCACTCACCGACAAGAGCCTGCACCTGTGACCGGTTGGTCCAAGGCCTGTTAGGGCCGGACGTGAGCATGGCGTTTGACGCGTTTCAGCGAGGGGTAGAGATGAGATGAGAGTGACGGTCGAGTTGCGTCGAAAGTCAACGACAGCGTCAGCAGCGAGGCAGGGTACAGTGGCCCAGGTACGTTGCCGGTGAGGCGAGTCTCGGTGGAGACCCTGGACCCCGCTAACTGCTGCGTCGGTGTACACTGGACGGAAGCAAATCGACGATGGCCGTGGTGGTGGTGAGCCACGCGACGCTGGCGCGAGGTGCCACACAGGAGGGTGCTCCGTTTCTCCGTCCATGCTTCACCGTACGCTGGGCGGCTCTCACTGCGAGTCGTCGAGCCAACCACCATCGCGGTAATCCACAGTGACCTACACCTTCTCCCGACTCTCAACGACGACGACAGAGGCAAGCCACGATGGTGTCCGCTCGCTTCGGTGGGTACTCCGCTTCGACTGGGTGTGTCCGACAATGCTAACCGTGCAGCTCCTGTCCTCCGGACGAAGGCCATGGCCAGGCAACCCCGCCTGACCCGGGTGAGTGCCGATTCCGAACATTGTCGCGCGAACTCCGACAACAATCAACATTCCGGACCGAGACCGAGACGGAAAGGAAGCAGGGGACAGAATGCTAACGTCAGTCTATCGCCGACCTCACTATCCTTAACCAGCCCACCACCTCGAAGCAGGTCCCCATCACCAAGGCTGGTCCGTCGAACGGCGGCCGCTCCGCTGTCTCGGGCCACACGGTCACCGTCTTCGGCTGCACGGGATTCCTCGGCCGCTACATCGTCTCCAAGCTCGCCAAGGAGGGTACGCAGGTCATTGTTCCCTACCGTGACGAGGACAAGAAGCGTCACCTCAAGGTTACGGGCGACCTCGGTGTTGTTGTTCCCCTCGAGTGGGACGCGCGCAACCCGGACCAGATCCACGAGTGTGTTCGTCACTCGGACACCGTCTACAACCTGACCGGCCTCGACTGGGAGTCGCGCAACTTCTCGTACGAGGACGTCAACGTCAAGACTGCCGGCCTCATCGCCGAGGTGTGCGCGCAGTCCAACGTCGACCAGCTCATCCACGTCTCGCACCTGAACGCCAACCCGAACTCGTCGTCGCGCTTCTACCGCACCAAGTACGACGGTGAGCGCGCTGTCCGCAACGCCTTCCCGGACGCTACCATTGTCCGCCCCGGCCCGATGTTCGGTGCTGAGGACTGGTTCCTGAACGCTGCTGCCCAGTACCCGGCTCTCTTCAAGCTGAACGGCGGCAACACCAAGTTCATGCCCGTCCACGTCCTCGACGTCGCCAAGGCGCTCAAGGTCATGCTCGACGCTCCCGTCACCTCGGTCGCGTCCACCTTCCACCTCGCCGGACCGGCCATCAAGACCGGCAACGAGATTCTCGACCTCGTCTCGCTCCTGACGATGAAGCCGATGAACAAGGCCGTCGAGGTCCCGAAGTCTGTCGCGCTTGCGTTCGCCAAGCTCGTGAACAAGGCCATCTGGTGGCCCACCGTGTCGCCCGACGAGATCGAGAGGAAATACATCAACGACGCCGGTATCGAGGCCCTCGAGCCCCTCGACACCAGCGCGTACCCCGACGGATGGGCCCCGTCGCAGCAGTCCTCCATCATCCCCGGTGTTGACGGCGAGCCCGTCAAGACGTTCGCCGACCTCGCCATCTCCCCCGACCACATTGAGGAGTGGGCCATCCGCTACGTCCGCAGGTACCGTTCCTCGGCCACCTACGACATGCCCGTCGAGCTTGGCCACTTCAAGAACCCCAAGCCGTACCACACCGTGCCTTAGAGAAAATATGCATAGGATAGTTAGCAGGGATCACTGCGGCGCGAAGTGAAGCGGCGCAGCCTGGTAGTCTCATCTGCTGCTGCCGGCTTGGTGGCCGCTGAGAAGCTATTACAGGCAACGGTCAAGGTGAGGAGTGAACTGAACTGCAGCGGTCTGAAGTTTATGAGCGGGCACACAAATTCCTCGGCAGGCAGTATGACGATCCTCGGCCGACCAGCCTGTCTGACCCCAGGGATGGGCAGGCTGTTTGTGTGCTTGCGGGTCCGAGCGGCGCGACCACATTGCGGGTGTCACTACTGATGTCAGTTTGTCGTCTTCCTCGTTCACAATTGAAGCTTGCCGAAAAGGACTCTGCTCATGATTCGTTTTGTTTGAAATTATTATTCATAATGCAGTAGTAACGTCTATCATGCGTGAGACCCCCTGTACAAGGTGCCCCGCAGTCGATATGTGTTCTATGTAGGTGGGTACTGTTACAGATTGATTCGCTCTCACGGGCACAGCCCGGGAAAAGGTCCGTTTATACTCGTCGTTGTCCGAGTTCCATGGGCATGTCGCTCGAACGGGACCAGCGTACTTCGCACTTAAGCGGACGCGGCGACCTTGGCCTGCTCGAGGTCGGCGAGGAGGTCCTCGACCTCCTCGATTCCGACAGAGAGACGGATGAGCTCGTTGTCGATACCGAGCTCCTTGCGGTCGGCCTCGGAGACAGAGGCGTGGGTCATGAGAGGCGAGGGACTCGACGCCGCCGAGCGACTCGGCGAGGGTGAAGACCTTGAGCGCGGCGAGGAAGTCGGACGACGTCTTGCCCGCCTCGACGCCGGCGGAGAGCGCCTGCGTGTCGAGCCGGAACGACACCATGCCGCCGTACGGGAACCCGGTGTCCTTGGTGTAGCCCTGGGCCTCGGCCCAGCGGCGCGCGACGGGCGAGAGCTGCGCCCACGCCAGCTCGCGCACGGGCGCGCGCTCGGCCCCCTCGAGACCTTGACCCAGCTCTGCTGGGCGAGGAAACGCGCAACAGCGAGCGCGTTCAGGCCGTGCTGCTTCATGCGCACGCCGAGCGTCTTGGCTCCGCGCTGCGCGAGCCAGGCGTCGTGCGCACCAGGGACGGCGCCGCCGGCGTTCTGGTAGAAACGCAGTTGTCCGTGCACACGAGGACACCCATGATCACGTCAGAGTGGCCGTTCAGGTACTTGGTGACCGAGTGGACGACAATGTCCGCGCCGAGGCGGAGCGGCTGCTGGTAGAACGACGACATGAAGGTGTTGTCGACGACGAGGAGGGCGCCGTGGCGGTGCGCAATCTCGGCAACGGCCTTGATGTCCGCAAGGCCGAGGGTGGGGTTCGTCGGCGTCTCGACCCAGACGAGCTTGGTCTCGGGCGTGAACGCGGCCTCGAGCGACGAGTTGGCGCGCTCCGAAGCAGCCTCGGCGGTCTCACCAGCCTTGGCAGACAGGTGCACAAAGGTCGTCTTGATGCCCTGCGCGGCGGCAACCTTGGTGAAGTAGCGGTAGGTGCCACCGTAGACGTCGGCGATCGAGACAACGTGGCCGCCAGTGGGGACGAGGGCGGTGACGATGGCCTGGGTCGCGGCCGAGCCGGAGGCGAAAGCGAGCGCCGGGGGGAGGTTCTCCTCAGCGACGCGCTCGGCCTGGCTCATGTGGAGCGCCGGGGGCGTGGGGAGCTCGAGCGACGCGATCTGCGTCTCGAACGCGAGACGGTTCGGGTTCAGCGAGCGAGTGTACTCGAAGCCCTGGTCATTGTTAGCCGAGTTCGGAATCGCGGGTTTGAATGGCAATCTCGGGGAATGAGGAACAGCCACCACCGTGACACGGGTGGTGGAGGAGGCATGCAGAGCCGAGGGAGAGTGGAGGCCGCTGGCCAAAATTGTTGTTGGGCAGGGTGAGGCGTGCCCGTGAACTGGCGCTGGCGCGGAATGTCGCACACCGGCGCAATGCGCACAGATGCACACGCACACAAGCACGTCATGAGACCGCCAGTTGGCGCCGGTGAGAACACGGGAGCACCGCGCCGAATGCGGAGATGGGAGCCATGGCGTCGTGAGGAGAGACTAAAACGTATGCCAAAAGGCACTGGAAGCAGTAATTCTGCCTGATTCCTCTGCCGAGCTGCCGCCATACCGCCGGCCTGCCGGGCGCGAGGAATGCGGCTGCAACTTTTTCGCCTTGTTGTGGTGCGGCGGCAAGCCGGGTGCAAGCCGAGCGAGGGTGCGACTCCGAATGCGAGCGAAGCATTGCGTCAAGCCGTGCGAAGCATGCACAATGCCACGCAGTCCCGACGGCACGCTCGACGCAACAGCAAACGAGACGATGGCAGCAAGCACCATCCCTTTAGCGTGCCCGCGTATCCGAAAATCCGGGTTCGCTAACACGCTAAAGGGCTAAAGTTTGGAACCACACAAGAGCATGAAATGAATGACCTCACCCCCGCGACAGAGACTGCCACGAGAAAATGCAACTCACCTTGTGGACGCCGACGGCGCTCTGCTTGAAGGTCGTCGCGAGCGAGAGAGGCGGGATGACGGCGCCAGTCTCCTCGTTGGCCTCGGAGCCGGCGTGGATGACGCGGGTGGCCCAGGCGTAGTCCTCGTGGGCGGCCTTGCCGTTACCGTTGGCGTGGCCGTTCGAGTGGCCGTTGGTAGCGTTGCCGTTGGCGGTGCCGTTGGAGTGTCCGTTCTGAGTGACAGCCATGGTGAAAGTCTAAGTTGAAGTTGGAGTCAACTGTGCTGTCGAGGTGTAAGCTGTTGGAGCTTGGAGAGACAGGATGGGGGAGAACAAAGGAGACAAGTTTCGTTGTGCATTATAAAGAACTGGGCATGGCTGTTGGGTTCGCAACCTCGGCCCAGCCGGCAGCCAGGAGCCTGACTCGCCCAGAAGTGCCAGTCGCCGTCGCTGATGCAGCGCCTAACAAAAATTATGATGACCCCATAGTGGCCGTGGCCGGTGGGTGGTTTGCTTGACGCGCAGTGGTTCGCGCCGGCGTTGCCCGATCTGATTAGAGCTTCCCCTCAGGCGCCCTCAGGCCTCAGGTCCCATGCCTCGCTCGTCTCGCCCGCACGCACAGGCTTGGCAAATATTCGCCGGGCGGTGGCAAATCCGCACCCAGGAAAACGCATTCCTTTATCATATCCCACCGGTCACGCCATACATATGCTCCGCCCGTGCAGCGCCCTCACCATGACATATCCGTCTCCGTCGCGACGCCACCCTCACCCCAGCGCGTATGCAGAGCACACATCTGACGCAGCTCGGCGCCTTGGCTCGCGCTCACCGCCCACGCGGCCGTGTTTCGCGGGCTACACGACGCATCGGCCTCCTTTGACACCTCCATGCCTCCACCGTACGTACCTTCTACACGCATCGCCCGTAGTCAGGTCCCCGCCTCCAGAAGACCGAGATTGGTAAGCTTCCCGATGGCATCATGCATTTATCTGTCTTCTCGCCTTGTGCGCACTGACTCCGCACTGTCGCGTGCATGTCGCCATCATGCTGACCGTGCATTGCTTCGTGCGTGCTCCTTCTTGCTGATTAACAATGCAATAATGTCCTTGCTACGTATTATATGATTACAAATCAAATCTTGATCCGTAGACGAGAGATGCAACAAGACAACATCGGTTTTCCCCTCCTTCCTTCTACTCCAAAATCGGCCATCAGCTGGAGGGCATCGGATGGCCGATAGCGATCGATGACATCCTTTTAGTTCCCGATGGGATTTTAGATCGACCAGATCCCCCTTGGCTCCAAGCTAGAGGAATGAGGAGGCATCAAGACGTGAGCCTTGCGAGCCGGTCGACCCGGCTGATTTTCGCGGTCGCCCTGCCGCGATCTACCTGAGCTGGATCATCCAGCCCGCTACGCCAACGCCCCCTTAGCGCCCTCTGTCTCGGCGCGCACTCGCTCCAGATACTCCTGGTGCCGCTTCCTGCCGAGCTGCAGCTTCTCCTCGAGCGACAAGTCTTGCAGTGCACCGAGAGCCGACATGTCTAGGTCTGGCATGCCGTCGCCGCTAGGACCGGACAGGGAACCTTGTGCCTGTCTCGAAGGACCAGCTTCTTGCACTGGCGACGACGGAATGCTTGGGCGACCAGCGGACCCCGAGCTCTTTCGCGTTCCCGGAGGCACCGGAGACACTGGGGACGTTGGCGGTATGGCCTGTGTCGGCAGGAAGTCTCCAAAGACTCTTCGTAACTCTGCTTCGCGCAATTCGGGCTGGCGTGGGACTTCCACACCAATAAGCTCGTCGCCCTCCCGATATACGGAGAAGGGATCAAAGTCGGGGTCGTGCTCATACGCAAGGTCCGATGGCGCCGGGATCGCGTCACCCCATAACACCTCCTCGAGGTCGTTCAGAAGTCTCGCAATGTTGCCTGCCGATACGCCATCATGCGCGAAAACGTTGGAAGCGGTGATGTCGCCGTATTGCCCTTCGATGACCGTTTTCCCAAAAGCCCACCCGAGATCCTTGCGTCGATTGACAGCTTCGTCGATGTCTCGCAGACCATACCGAACCTCGCGGTTCCAGAATGTCACATCCTTTTCTGTCGGTGGGCTGTTGAGGAATCCCTGACGCTTCCCCTCCTGCACGGCAGCCAGCGTCCAGCTGCACCACGTCTTTGACTGCTGCAGCGCTCCGGCGAAAGATGGGCGTCGCGAAATGGTCGGAACGCCGGCCCATGGACATGCTTTTCCGGGATGACAAACGGACCACACGGCGTCGATGAATGCTCCGAGAGCTTGGACGAGCTCCAACACGAAGGGTCGAATTCCTCGGCGCGAGATCAAGGCATGGATCGAATGGAAAGGGTTCTCCCTCTCGGACATTCTTGGGTGAGTCGACAATCGGCGTCCGTTCACGGTTCCTTGACCGTAAAACGCAGGATCGATGGCCAGTTCGACGTCTCGGAGTTGTCGAACAGACTCGGTGGTGTAGATGTCCTGGACGCCTGGCAGGTGCTGCAGTTGGCTCGGTGTTGATGGAACGTTTCGTGACGAACTTGCAGATGCGTAGGAGTTCACTGATGAGACCGTTCCAACCGTGTCAGCCCAATTTTGGCGAGACGAGCCTGGTGGGGAGCTGACAAGGTGCGCTGGCAGGGCGCTGGGCGGTGCGTTAGGGGTCATGGAACGCAACGGCGAGTATTCGGATGAGGGTCCTGCATTCGCTCCCAGAGTGATTGACATCGACCGTGATGGTTGCAGTGGGTTGTCGAACTCGGCGCGAGGCTGCTCCTCCACGATCCATTTCTGCAAGCGGTCAGCTAAAATGTAGATGCAAGTCATCCATGGGCACAATGCTCACTCTCCACTTTGCCATTGCGGCGTCTGCCTTAGCGCGACTTTGGCGGGCGGCTTCGTTTTCGATGACGACCTTCTTCTTGCCTCGGCCACCTAAGGGAACAGCCGTCATCTCAAAGGCTTGCTCAGAGCCAGAGGTGATGGACCCTTCACGCTGGCCCGAGCGCGTCGAGCCTCTGGAGCGGGTCGAGCGCAGGCTTTTTGGCGCTACAGACCCTCGACGAGACCATAGTCCTCCACTCTTCTCCTTTGACGTCTTCGACGTCCCTGACCTGACAGAGGCTTGCCAGGAGGCTGCCGCTGATCGGAGCGATGCCGAATCTGAAGAGTTGCTCATCGAGGCAGAGTTGGAGCCGCGCCGGTGTCGCGGCTGTTGTACTGAGGATGCAGCACTCATGTCGGGCGAGCCATAGTCTGTGGAAGCTATGCTCTGAGGTTGAACAGGTAAACATTCGACGGCCTGGGTATGTCAGTTGAAACGGCTTGTGTGTGTGTGTGTGTAGGGACGCCACGAAGGCAGCAGTGAGTTACTCACACCCCCTTTCAGGCGCTCGACGACCCCCCGTGATGGCCCAGCTACGGCTGTTGACGGACCCATGGGTTGCCACCCGTATGTCCCACTCGGGTGTGGTCGAACAATGCGAAGCGACTAGAACTGTGAAAAGAACGGCGTGATTGGGGACAATGTGTTTCGAAGTGAGGAGGGAAGGACGCGGTGACTAGCTGAGGGTGACGGCTGAGGGGAGTTAGGGCGCCTGGGTCTCGGAAAAGTCGGCGCGATCGAGCCCCTTCGTCCTAGACTCTGGGGGAGTCCTCATGCGAAGGGGGGAGTGAACATGTGCTGGGCGTGAGATTAAACAGCGAAGTCGGGTGGGCGAACGACGAGGAGCTGGAGATGAACGGAGAGCGATGGCGAGGAAGGAGGAACGGTCGGGGTTGTAAGGGAGGGCGGCGCAGCGGATGGAACATGCATTACGGTGCCGTAAAGTGATCAGGAAGAGGACGGAAGCGTGCGCCAGGAGCGTCGATCGGTTCCAACCAAATTAACATTAACACGCCGACAATGTGAATAGACAGAGATTGATGACTTTATTAGTCTTGAGAACGCGAACTTGACCAACTTCAAAGCGCCCGAACCCATGGAGCCAGGGAGGGGCCCTATGTCCAGGCACGCCGTCCTCGTCCATCCTCAATTGTCCTCAACCGAGGTGCAAGTGCTTCACATCTCTTACGACTCCACCTTTCGACTCCCTTTGCGTACGACTGACTAGTCTCGCCCACCGCGTAACTCGGCATATCGGCCTGTGAGCGAGCACAATGGAGAGCGTGACCGCCGCTTAACCATTAGTTCAAATCCCCCCTGTGTTTGGTGGGTTTCCGCTGATCACGCCTGCTCGTCCGACGCCAGGCCGGTGTTTTGGCGTGCTTGCTCGTGTAGCGCCCAATCGTGCGAAAAGCGCTTTCCACGACTTGATCTGGCGTTTGGGGCGTTCTGGAACGCGTGTCAGCAGGCCCCCGTTCCACAATCAGTCCCAATTGACCACGATCCGGACCCTGATGCCGTGGCGTCGCTGCCAACTTAATCGCTGCATTGTAAACAGCATTTGAACTTGCCCTGGCCGACCGCGCCGAGCGGGGACTGGAAGCTGAGTCCGCAAACGAGTTTCACCAGCTCACCAGTCCTCTGTGACGTACAACCCTAGAATATGAAGCTCCGAGCAGCGTTGCTATGTAACTGCTTGGCAACACTTCACGAACAGCAATGATGCTGATCCCAACGTCGACGAGCAATCACGTATTCCCGCATCTGCACCTTCACGCCTCGATCATTAATCGCGTGCCACAGTTAGTTACTCAGGGCCGATCCCCCATCACGTATCCTGCAAACCTTATGAGCCACAAGGGATGGCAGGCTGCGCGCTCCGTCACATCGTTCATAGGCGCTCAAGGTGCTAAAGGAAGCATTGGAAGGGTCGTCGAAACTTCAGCTTCACACTGAGAATGCGGACTAGTCGCGAAGGCGGTCTTTGGAAAAAGAGGAAAGAGAGCCTGCGAGCTGGTCTCGATTTGGCCAGAAATAACGAGACGGAGATCAGACAGCTGCCGTGCTGGGTTGGAGGGTCCGTAGGGAAGCTACGAGGTGATCGGGTACACGTGAGCTAAACGAGCCCCAGTAATCGCCCGAGGCGCTTTGGTGCGAGTCCCGGCGTCCGGTCCCGGACCCAAACCGCAAGCTAACTGGCCGACATGATGCTCACCCTGCCCAAGTTTAGAGTAAGCCTGGCCTGGCCGCTTTGACGAAGCGGACGAGTGGTAAACCCAACGCGGAGGCGTCGTATACGAGCATTGGATACTGACGTTTCTCCACTATGCTGGCACCCGTTTCACCTCGTTGTCGCTCATAAGCTCTCGACGGATCAGTGGAAACAGTACCCGAATCTTTCCAAGGATGAGCAACTGCGGCTCCCATGCTAGAGTGAGTCGTAATGTGATCGTTACGAAGCCGCTCGAGCAACGTCGGCATAAGCTCGCGAGTTACGTCCCCAAGGTGTACATGACAACGTCAAAGTAAGGTACAGATGAAGTTAACGAGGGAGTCGTAAGGACCCGCCTCAATACCCGCAGTAGCTTGTGCCTCCCATACTCGTAGGATCGTAGTTGGATACATCTTTGGATACGCTTCAAGCCAGGCTTTTCATGCCAATCAGCTTGACAGATTACGGGCGAAGACAACCCGATAACACGGAGATCTACCCATGCCGGGTGTTTCAACACCCTTTTCCTCTGCCCGACGACTGCCTCGAAACTGCCTGTGTTGCCTTCTTGCACATGTGGCCCGTTCTTGACAGTGGTTTCCGGCAGCATTTCTCTCTGTCTGGCTCCCTACGACATCCGGAGGTCGTCAATATTGTCTGGCTCTCAGTATGAGCCTGGACGTCTGCCGCTGGACCAGTGAACCGACTTGCATTGCCTTTTGCTGTACCCGTGTAACAGTTGCCTTCAGTCCGTGACCTATCCACCAGCTCCAAGATTTCTGTGAGGACCCTTGCTTGAGAGCGTTCAGACGCCTGTTCAGCTGCACGGCCCTCACTGGCCAGCCTCTTCGAAATTCTGGTAAGAAATCATTCCTACTCTGACAACTACTCTACACCCCTTGCGGTCAGTTCCGACATACCTAGCTAGGAATGATCTCGACTGGTGGCCCGGGCGGTATGCTCACTGTGGTGGAGAAGGCGCTTGGCTATGATGCCGCTCTGCGACAAGATGAGGTCATAAGCGGCCCGTGGGAGACTTTGATCACGTGCCCTCCAACAGCCAGCTTTCCGATCTTTGTAGCCCGTGCATGACAACAGCATGTTCAAGCATGTATTCGGTCATGCATGCACTCAACCCCTTTGGAAAGCGGAATAGGTGGTTGCGATAGCAATTGATGCAGGGCTTTGAAGGATCAGCAAAGATGTGCTGCCACACCTGCACGTCAGCCGGCGTTCACCAGATAGTTGGCGGAGCCCCACTTTGGCGGGAGCAAATGCTGGTGCAGACTGTCCGCTAAGTTCTTTCTCTAACGTCACAAGAGCAGGTCTGAGTTCTTTGTTCCAAGGCCCGTTTATACCATACAACATGTCCGCCCCCGCTATCGACCTTAAGAAGCCCGAGCCCAAGCCCGAGGAGCCCCAGGAGGAGCAGGGCCTCACCAACGACGTGTGAGCTTTGCGAGCAGCTCGAATGGGCTCTTCGATCGCGAGCTAGCTTGCTGACTTTCCCAGGATCACCAAGTACACGACCGCTGGCCAGGCTCTTAACACCGTCCTTAAGAAGCTCGTTCCCGAGATCCAGCCCGGCAAGAAGGTCCTTGACCTCTGTGTCGAGGGTGACAAGCTTGTCTCCGAGGCTACCGCCTCGCTCTACAACAAGGCCAAGAACGGTGTCAAGGTCCCCAAGGGTGAGTGAGATGAAGGGCATGGTTCATTCAATTGAGTCCTGTCTCTAACGTCACAGGCTCTGCTTTCCCCACCTGTATCTCGGTCAACAACATCGTCTCGCACGTCTCCCCCCTTCACTCTGACCCCGAGATCGTCCTCAAGGACGGCGACGTTGTCAAGGTCCAGGTCGGTATCCAGATCGACGGCTACGCTGTCACCCACGCCGAGACCATCATCCTTGGCAAGGCCGACCCCGTCGCTGCCGATGTCGTGAAGGCTGCCTACGACGCCGCTCAGGCCGCCATGCGCGCCGTCAAGGCCGGCAACAAGAACTGGGACGTCACCGAGATTGTTGACAAGGTCGCCAAGGAGTACGACTGCGTCCCCGTCCAGGGCATGCTCTCGTGCCAGCACGAGCAGAACGTCACCGACGGCAAGAAGCGCATCCTCCTCAACCCCTCGCCCGAGCTCCGCCGTGACCACGACACCGTCACCTTCGAGGAGGGTGAGGTCTACGGTGTCGACGTTCTCGTCGTCTCCGGCTCTGACCCCAAGGCCCGCCCCGACGAGTCGCGTACCTCTGTCTATAAGCGCGCCAACGACGTCAACTACCAGCTCAAGATGAAGACCTCGCGTGCCACCTTCTCTGAGATCCAGAAGAAGTCTGGTGCCTTCCCCTTCACCCTCCGTGCCCTCGACGACGAGAAGCGCTCGCGCATGGGTGTCCAGGAGGCTGTTGCCCACGGTGAGTTGCGGCCATCATGCGGGATCTAACCTCCAGGTCTTCTCAAGCCCTACGATGTCTCCAAGACCGCCGCCGGATCCGTCGTTGCCGAGTTCTTCTTCACCAGTGAGTGTGACGGGGCTGCTCCAGTAGCTCCCCAGAAAGAGCATTCAAGCCGAGCTAACGTTCCCAGTCGCCCTCCTCCCCGCTGGTCCTCTTCTCCTCTCCCCCGCCCCCGTCTGGTACTCTGCGTAAGTTGAGTTGATCCTGCGTAAACTGACAGCCAGCGACAAGGTCAAGTCCGACAAGTCGATCAAGGACGAGGAGCTCCAGAAGACGATCTCTGCTCCCCTCCGTGCGTCCAAGAAGAAGAACAAGAAGGCCGCCGCCCCCGCTTCCTAAGTCATCCGACTGCGAACGCGAGGCGATCTGATCTGATCTTTCTACACGAGTGCACGCGCCGGCTGGCGTCCGCGTACCCTCCTTCAGACGATATATTGAGACCGTACCAACAGGGAACTTTTAGAGAAGCAAGCAAAAAAAGAAAGCATGTTACTACAGTCTTAATACAATCCCCCAGCGCCAGCTGATAGACATCAGGAATGATGCAAAGAAGAAGACGCAGAAGCAAAACCGGGTGCAAGGACCACCACGGCCACCGGTCTGGTAAGAGTTCGGGCAGTTGGGGTCTCAGTCAGACGCAAGTTTCGGAGCCGGTACCTGGTCGAGCAAGGCAGATCTGACTCGAATCCTTTGGCGGATGATTTGTTTGCAGGTCGTCATCAGTCAGCCGTCAGCACGTGAGTCATGTCACTCAGGCAAGGCACCAGCTTGAACGGCACCGAGGCTGTAGGCAGTACCGAGGGTGTCAGTTGCGAAGACGGCATCCGGATGTCGAGCGAGAGGCGGAGTACGTTTCAAGCATGTCTCGACATCATCTCAAACGCAATATGGCATGAACGCGCAGTTCCCAGATTCGTCGCTCTGTCCAATCGCGGTATCAGCCCAGCAGTGCCAAGTCCAGTAGTGCCCGCTGGTATCCGCTGGTATCCCGCCAACGAGCCTGGAGGTTGTGAGCGTGTGAGATTCGACGGAATGCCGGATGCGGTGACCTGAATCATCATCCACCTGCCAGAAGCAGCATTCCGTGCACTCCGTGCCCCGTCCGTGTATCGGATGACGCGCTGCAGGAACGATGACGTGCCCGCGTGCCCGTGTGGGTATGGCCGGGATCTCTCACACTGGCTCGAGAGCTTAGAGTGAAAGTGCAAGGCACTCTGCCGCTGGCTGCCGCTTGTGGAAATGGTGATGTACAAGCTGGACAGCGCGTCAGTCTCGCTTGTGCAGCAGCAAACCTGTGCACAACCTGGGTGCATCGGAGATCGGAGACGTGTGGTTCGCCAGCCCGCTAAGTCTGGGAATCGATGGCGCCTCGCATTGATGTAACTGGCGCACTGGCGCATCCGATGGATCCGATGCGGAAGGCTAGGTTGCAGATCCGGGGCATCCGGGGCTTAGCTGCTCAGCTGCTCTGCACGCGAAAGAAGCGGTACGCGACGCCCGACGTACCGACGTACCGACGTCCGAAATAGAGCTACGGCTCCAAGACTACAGGAGAAGAGTGGGACCGAATGTGTCCAGCTGAGGCTCTTTGTGCACGTTTGCTACGCTCAAAGAGGCATTCCAACATGAAGGCTTGCGGCGTGCGGGGAAGGAGACAGGGAAACAGGGGTGGGAAGCCTTGGACCGGCGGCAGTCGCCCGCATTCTCCTGGCTCTCCTGGTCTCAGGCACGGCTGCCAGGGGCTACCTGCGAGCTGCGAGACTACCATGTCTCGACATTTTTGTTGTGAAGAGGAAAGTAGAGCAAGGCAAGTGTGTTCCATTCCTGTTCCAGCAGCGCCGAGAGCACCGGACGTACACGACGTGGGACCTTGAGACTTTCCAACGGTGCGGCGTGGTGCGCTCTCTACTCCGTTTGCACTGTACACACACAACGACCGCACCTCGTATCTCGTTATCAGTGTCCATCACTGCGCCTCCCGCCCTCTCGCATTCTCGCACACTCACACACTATCGCGCGCGCCGGTCACACTCGCACACACACTCGCACACACACTCGCACACACACTCGCACACTCGCACCCCCCTCTGTCTCACTTCGCACACCCGCCAGCGCAGCGAGCGACGTCTGTCACCGCCGCGCAGATAACACCGACTACTGCTCATTCCTTCCTCGTTATCTCCATCGTCTCTAACTCTCTTCCTTCCCATCTTTCATTCCTTGACTCTTTCTCATCGTAGCACCGACTAAACAAGCACAGCTACACTACCAGTCCTTGCCACCGACTACTCCTTAACGGAAACACCAGCAATGGATACGCCCGACGTCCACCTCTTCGTGCTCATCCACGGCCTGTGGGGTGAGCTGCTCTGTCCACCACATTAGCTAACATCAGGCCGCGCCGAGCACCTCGACGAGGCGAAGCAGGCCCTCATCAAGGCATGGGCTGCCTCCCTCGGCTCTCGCGCTGATGAGATCCTCGTCAACGGCAACGACCTGACCTCCGTCGACAGCGGCGACGAGAGCGACAAGCCCCACGCCGTCCACGGCGCCGCGTCGCCTACCTTCTCCGAGCGCAGTCTGTTGAGCAGCACCGCGACCGCAATCGCGAGCGAGCGCGAGGAGCTCGTCGTCATGGTCGCCGAGGGCATGACCTCGACCCTCACTTACGACGGCGTCGACGTCTGTGCGAGCCGCGTCGCCTGGGAGGTGAGTCTCTTGAATTTCTAACGTTCCTGCGCACGGACGCACCGACCAGGGAGAAGGCTGTGTGCGGAGAGTGAAGATGTGTGCATGCCTTCGCAGGCTTCACAGGTTCGCAGCTTCGCACCAGATCGACGGCCTTGATTGCGTGCGGCATGCCGCACACACACGGGCACGCACCCTCCCACATGCACAGATGCAAGTGTCGTACCCCGTCTCGCGAGGCTAGTTGCCGCCGGCGCAGATGTGTGTTGCGCGCCCCCGTCAACGTCTCCGTTCCTCCGCGCGGTACACCCGCGCCCCGCACTCCGCTCTTTCTCAGCTATCGATGATGTGGTAGCTAACACGCAGGTCGACCAGGCCGTTGAGAAGCTCGAGGCGCAGGGCCGCCGTGTCACCCACTTCAGTGTCGTGAGTAGCTATGGCTTGCTCCCGAATGTAGCTAACAAGCAGCTTGGCTACTCCCTTGGTGGCGGTATGTCTGGTTCTCCTAGGCAGTAGGCGCTAACCACTCACAGTCGTCGCTCGTTACCTCGTCGGCCTGCTGCACGCGCGATCCCCTAGCTTCTTCGACGAGCATGAGCCCGTCAGCTTCACCACCATGGCAACGCCCAACCTCGGCATTCCCCGCTACAGTGAGCATCACAACTTCGGATGTAGCTGACTCCAGACACGGTCCTCTCTGCCGGTTTGCACTGGCTCGGCTCGCGCCTCATGTCGCGCACCGGCGAGCAGCTCCACGCCGCCGACGAGTACAGCGAACACGACACCCGCCCCCTGCTCGAGATCATGGCTGATCCCAGTGCGTCCAGCTGCCCGAGGCTTTCATTGTCAAAGCTGACAACCAGAGCACGTGTTCCACCAGGGCCTGTCGCGCTTCCGCGCGATTCACCTGTACGCCAACATTGTGAACGACACGACCGTGCCCTTCCCCTCTGCGAGCGTGACGACCTCAGACCCCTTCGTGCAGTGGAACGAGCGCGGCCTGGTCGCCGAGGCAGACGAGGCGGGCATCGTCTCGGACTGGAAGTTCACCCGCCAGCCGAAGCACAAGAAGTGGATGCCGACGCACAAGATCGGCAACCTGCCTCCCTTCCTCCGCTTCCGCTGGCCTATCAACTACGTGAGTCCCCGCTCCTAGCTTCCAGAAACTCGTTATGAAGCTAACAACTCCAGCTGATTTTGGGCCTGTTCCCGATCGTGTTCCCGATCATCTTTTTGCTCATTGTCCTCCGCTTCAGCCTCGACACGCGCCGCTCCCGCCGCCGCCTGCAGAAACTCGCACGCGCCGAGGCGCCCCCCGTCGCGTCGCCTACGGGCATCCCCAAGGCCGGGCTCAGCATCACGGCGCTCCGCAATGCGATTCGCGCCGTCGAGCGCGGGCTCGAGCAGGACCTCATCCAGGCGGCAGAGTACGATCTCGAGATGGAGCAGGAGGCGTGCGAGGACCCAGAGTGTGAGTAAGGCGAGGCCACCAGCGAGGCCGGAGGCCGAGCTGGCCAAGCCTGTCTAAGCCAAGCCGATCGTGGCAGCTCTTCGTCTCCGACCAACAGCTGACAAACAGGCAAGGTCGAGGTTCCCATCCCCGTTGTCGGCGAGACCTCCGCTACCGGCGCGGCCAAGGCGTCCTCCGCAGTCAGCCTGGACGACCTGGACAATCTGGCCGTGGCGCCGCAGACGATCCGCTGCTCCCTCTCGCCTCAGCAGGCGCGCATGGCGCACTGGCTCTCCGCGCTCGATCCCCAGCGACACCTGTGCTACTTCCCCGACGTTGCCAACAGCCACGCCGTCATTGTCGTGCGTGATCCCGAGCAGTTCCCCGTGCATGCGCGCGGGCGCGGGGTGCTGCGTCAGTGGGCGGAGATGGTCGCGCAGGAGGCGAGGGCGGCCTGTAAGGTCTAGCCTGCTCCCTCTACCTCGTCGCATCGTCCCTCCCTCTCTCTTCTGAGAGCGGAGGTGGAAAGAGGGCCCAAGGCAGACCCCAAGGCTTGTAGATATACTCAAAAGAGGGGGCTCGTCCGGCACAGCTCCCTTCACTTTATACCAGTTTCGACTTACTTATCATGGACATTCTTTCGCTATCTCCCCCGTTGTTTTATCACCCTACCTGTTGATACTTCTATGCATTTTTAGTTGTGGCATTCTCTTCGCTTGCAACAATGTAGTCCTCGCACTCATTCGCTTCTCTCTCACATCAGAACTGCGTGGCATTCTGCCACTAGAACGGCAGTGTCATTAAGTGCATACAACATGTGACCCGATAAAGGAACTACAACGGAATCGTGTACAGGAGCGTTACAATCTACTAATTTATGAGTCGCTGGCGCGACAGGGCGCCACACACACGTCTGGGAGCTCAAGCCCCGGAGGTGTACGCGGTGGGCGCGGGGCGAGGAAGCCTGCTCGCACGACGGCGCCTTGCTTCCTCCACTGAGACGGTTAGCTACAGCCCGGCCAAGACAACCCCAGCTACTCACTCATGCACTTGACCTCACGCGTGAGCTCGACCGAGTCCACGGAGCAGGGGCGGTTCAGGATCGCCTCGAGGTCTGTTGTCAGCTGCCTCGTGTAGTGTTAGCTTACTCTTGAGCGGGGTGCCGATGCGCGAGGAGCTCTCCGGGGACGCCTGCTCCGACATGATGCGCTCAATCTGGCGGATTTGGTGGCGGACGCGCGAGGGCGAGGTCGGCTTGCTCGACTTGGACTTGGGTGTCTTGCGGGGCGTGACCTGCTCGACACGGCCGCCGAAGAAGTGATGGTCATCCGACTTGCGGCACACCGCCGACTTCGCCCTGTCAAGTGGGCTAACCGGGCCATCGGTGTTCTGAGTTGAGTGCGCAGGCGAATGTGCGCGATGCGGGGAAGGCGAGCCGCGACCGAGGCCTACGCGCCTCGAAGGAGGCGTCAGCGTCGGCATTGCAAGCGCCTTCTTAGGCGTCACTGGGACGGTGACGGAGCCGCTCCCCAGCGTGCGCGGTGTGGGGGAAGAAGGCGCCGTGTCCGCACCTAAGCTTTGGCAGGCGTCCAAGAGCTCTTCGAATAGCACATCGAGCTCACGCCGAAACGACTTCTCAGCCTCAGGCGATGCAGCTTCTTCCGCCTTGTCTTCCAGGTCCAGGTCCAGCATCTCCTCAATAGGAGGCTCAACCTTGACGTTCTTCAGAAGGGGGCTGGCTATGCTCGAGGCATCGGTGTCTTCCCCGTCTACGCCTTTGTCCTTGGGGACAGGCTGCAATGAAGGCACCGGCTTGCGGCGGATCCGGAACGGTGTCGAAACCGCCGACTCGGGCGAGGAAGGTCGCGAGCCCATGGCGCTTGCCAGAGACGGAGAAGGAATGCGCTGCATATGCTGCACCGATGGGTCGAAGGAAGAGGACCGACTGCGGGGGGGCTGTTGGCGGCCGATACCACCATAACGCTTGGGGGTGAACACGTACTTCTGCTCTGCAGACAGTCGAGACAGCTCGCTCGCCGCCGGCATGGATCCGTGGCGCTGGTGGGAGATGCGTGCACCAGCCCTGCTTGAGGTAGACCGCCTGTCTCCGGCCTTAGGAGTCTGCTGAGTGGGAGAGGCGAGTGGCACATGGCGAGTAAGCGCATGTTGAATAGTCAGCTGTGGGTGCATTGACGGTTGAGAGGGTTGACCATGGACGGCACGGGCGTAGGAGAAGATAGAATTGTTTGACTTGCTCGAGGGAAGACGGCTCGACATTGATGTTTGACAGCGTCGGGGCGTCGAGTTGTTTTCGTTCTCTTCGTAAACAGTGGTTGCGGCCGGAGAGAGTGGCGACGGCGAGCGGCTGGCCATTGCTCGCAGATATTCAGCCGAGAGCTTGGGAACAGGGGGGATCGTCTCGGTTCTCGTTGGCACGGAGACAGACGGCCTGCGTCCGCCCGAGAGTGCGCGAGACAATTTCTGTTTGAGGCTCCGACCGGACTTGACGGAACTCGCACTCGAGCAGCCACTATCACTGTCATTGCGCCCGTTGAACTTCTTCATTGGTTGCAAATATGCCAGGTCGGAGAGCTGCGATTCTGCGTCACTGCAGCTAGAGGAAGCGCTGCTCATGGGATAGTTGCTGCTGGCATATCTGCGGTTCGAGTAGACGTTGTAATGCGGAACGGTCGAGGTCGAGCCACCGTACGCGGTCGAGTTGCTCTGGTTTGTTGGGCGGCGGAAGAACGGCATGATCGACGCCGCTGGGGGTTAGAAGAATAGCGTAGCAATCAGGTGTAATGAATGTCAAGAATAAGAATGTTCAAGAGAGCGAGAGAGGAAGGAATGGAAATAATGGAAGGACGGAGCAAAGGAATCGTGAGCGAAACAAAGACGGCGAAGGAAGAGAGAAGAGATGAGAGATGAGTGAAGGTGAGTGGCAACAAACCGGTCAGAGGGCGAATGTGTGCATGCGACACGAGGCTGGTCGGCTAGATGGGAAGCAGCGCCGCGCAGCTCAAGGGCGCAGAGACATAGCAGCGAGCAGCCAGCTGAATGTGCTACCCACACGCTGCTGCCCAGCGCCCGCAGGGTTGCGCAGGGCCGCACCGCCAGCTAGCTTGCGACTGCGGTGCGCCCCAAGGACTGCTTCGGGCACCAGATGGATCGCGTGAAGGTGTCTTCCTTCCTCCTTCTCCTTCATGACTTCAACATCTCACCAGGTCTGTCCGTCAATGCAGTTCTACATGTTAGGATAGATCAGTAGGGGCCTGCGATCCGTGACCCGTGGATCCGAGGTCCAAGTGGAGTCCCGGGATGCCGTGCACTAGATAGTGTTGCCACACTGCTTATACGGGCGGCGGACACTATAGCGATGCTCGGATGAACAAAAGTTAGCAGACGCACCGTCGTCAACTGCACGCTAGATGATGAAATCATGGTGTGGAAGCAGGTTGAGAACCGAGAGCCAGGCATGGCAGGATTGAAGGAAGGCGCTCCGAGAGAGCGATCGACGAGGATCGAGTATTCGCCGATCTTGGCAGATGGGCATTCCTGAGGTCGAAGTCATGAGGATTGATTAGCTCGGTGCGGTTAGGCCGATTAGGATTTAAGCGACTGTTAGCCCAAGCGGCAAGGAGCCGGATCAACAGCCGGTCTAGCCCAGGGCTTCACAACTGGGGGTGGGTGCCTTGGTCGCAGGTCGCGGCTCGGGTCACCGCGCACTGGGGTCCTGGCGAGTAGCGTCGTCTGCGACAGGCACTGGGCTGGGCTGGACTGGCGTATGGGCGTGGCGAGGAGGGTCAGCGTCAGCGGCTCGAATGGCGTCGCATCGGCTCCTCTCTGCGTCCGCTGAGCCGTTGAGCCGCTGGCCCCTTTGAACCGCTGGGCGGGTACGGCTCATCCTGGCACGCATCGTCACACTGTGCCGTCCTCGAGTCTGATTCGTTGGGGACATTTTCTGGTCACTTGAGACCCTCGACCCCTCCTGCCTCTAGCTGCCATCCGCCAGCGTGCACCGGGCCAAGCGATGCATTCCACATGAGCACATGAGCCACTAACTTCGTGCCCCCACCTAGCCACCTAGCCTACGCCCTGCCGCCCGGCGCCCGCCTGGCGTCAAGTCCTACCAGTCTTACGTCTTCCTCGCTCTGCTCATCGGTCCGAGGCCACCGCCGCTTCCCATCCCATCGTCATCATCGCCATCGTCCTTGCCATCTCGCATTGCTCCTCCGCATCGACAACACTGTCCCCTCATACGCAACGCGCGCTTTGGGGATAATTTGCCCGAGCCTGCTTGAATCACACCGGTAAGACCTTCCCGACTCTTCCGGCTCCGGTCCAGTCTGGGGCACCCACACCCCCTCATCCCTGCATCCCTCGCATCTCTCTGCACCTCCCACAACTTGCACCCCCGCCTCCTCCTTTCCTCTTCTCACGTCAACAACCCCTCTTCCTGCTACACCCTCCAGCAAACTTCTCATCCTTCCTCTTCCCCAAACATCTCATCCGCATTGACCGCAGTCTGGCTTATCATCTTATCAGCCTGCTAGACTCCCCGAACGCCTTCACTTCCCTTTCCTATATCACATCCAACTCGCGACTCTCATTGATCACATTCTCCTATCAAGCCCGTAGGCTTATCGACTAGCCATGGCCTCGGGTTTTATCTGTAAGTGCTTTGGTCTTCTACTGTCGCTGACTTTGCAGTCGACCTCATCGTCATCTTCTGGAAGCTAGCTGTCCTCAACATCTTCTTCCGAGAAATCAAGTAAGTTTTGTGCCGGCTCACTGCACCGCTTCAGCACACTGACACACAGGCCTCGCGGCGCATGGCATATCCCCAAGAAGGGCCCTGTCCTGTTCATTTGTGCCCCTCATGCGAACCAGTTCCTTGACCCCCTCCTCCTCTTTACGGAAGCCTGGAAGGCGGGCCGCCGCACGTCCATCCTGACCGCGGCAAAGGTGAGTGAACTGCGGACTAGCAGAGATCAAATGACGTCCATCCGAGGCTAACAATGTCCTAGTCTATGGAACGCAAGTTCATCGGCTTCATCGCCCGTCTGTTCAACTCCAGTGAGTAGTGCTCGAGCCGTGGTGCACGGTTGGTGTCCATGCTTACACCCCGCCAGTCCCAGTCTCTCGTGCGGCCGATTATGCGAAGCCGGGTATCGGCCAGGTCACCCTCGACAAGACCGACCCTCTGCTCGTCCACGGCATCGGTACCAAGTTTACGGAGCAGTTTGAGCCTCGCGGCACCATCTCGCTGCCCAAGTCGGTCCGCTTCGCGTCTGCCCCAATTGCCGAGGTCGTTTCCGACACTGAGCTCCGCCTGAAGTCCGAGTTCACGATCCCGTCCAAGGACGGCAACACTAACATCAAGGCCACGAACAGCGTCCGCTCCGATCTTCCTGCCGACTCTGAGGGCTGGCAGTTCCGCGTGTTCCCCCACGTCGACCAGGACCAGACGTACGGCGCTGTTTTCGATGCGCTCAACAAGGGAGGCGCGATCGGCATCTTCCAGGAGGGAGGTTCGCACGACCGTACCGACTTCCTTCCCCTCAAGGCTGGCTTCTCGATTATGGCTCTTGGAGCGATGGCTGCGAACCCCGACCTCGATGTTAAGCTCGTTCCCGTCGGTCTCTCCTACTTCCACGCCCACAAGTTCCGCTCTCGTGCCGTCGTGGAGTTTGGAGAGGCCATCTCTGTTGACCCCAAGCTCGTCGAGATGTACAAGGAGGGTGGTGCCAAGAAGCGTGAAGCTTGTGGCAAGCTCCTTGAGCAGGTCCACGACGCTCTCCGTGCTGTTACTCTCCGTGCCCCCGACTGGGAGACTCTCCAGGTAAGCTATGTGGTCGAAGAGAAGCTAACGATCAGGTTGTCCAGGCCGCTCGTCGTCTTTACCGTGTTCCCGGCCAGCAGATGAGCATTGGTCAGGTCGTTCAGCTCAGCAAGTACTTCATGGAGGGCTACCTTCGCTTCCAGGACGAGCCCAAGATCATCGAGCTTCGCAAGCGCATGCGCAAGTACAACCGTCTGCTGCGTGACATGGGTATCGCCGATCACCAGGTCGAGCGCGCGTCGAACCGCAGCGTGCAGTCGCTCGTCCTTCTGATCTACCGCCTCGGCCTGCTCATCTGGTGGAGTACGCTCGCCCTGCCTGGTTTCATCCTCCACGTCCCCGTCTTCATCCTCGCCAAGTACATCAGTCACGTCAAGGCCAAGGAGGCGCTCAAGGCGTCAACTGTAAAGGTCCAGGCCCGCGATGTGCTCGCTACCTGGAAGGTTCTCGTCTCGCTTGCCGTCGTCCCCATGGTGTACCTCGTCTGGACGATTGTCGGTACCACCTGGTGCTACCGTCACGACGCCCTGCCGCACCTGCGCCGCTGGATTCCTCTGATCGTGTTCCTCTCCGGCCCCGGTCTCGGCTACGCGTCGCTCAAGTTTGGTGAGGCCGGCATGGATGTGTTCAAGTGAGTTGTTCTTTCCGCAGCCTCCAACTGACGTGCAGGTCTCTGCGCCCCCTGTTCCTCTCCCTGTGGCCGGGCAACCAGCACGAGGTGAAGAAGCTGCGCAAGATGCGCGAGGAGCTGTCGAACGAGATCTCAGAGCTCGTGGACGAGTTCGGTCCCAAGATGTTTGACAATTTCGACAAGACGCGCATGCTCCCCTCAGCCTCGACGAAGAAGAACCAGCACGTCGAGCCCTCGATGCTCTCGCACCCGATCAACTGGCTCGACGAGCGCATCTTCGGCTGGCGCCGGAATGGCTCGGCGGCCGAGGCCTGGGCCGACGGCACGCACGACCAGAACCGTTCTCCCCGCAGTGTCCCCAGCACGGCCCCGGGCAGCCAGCACGAGTCGGACCTCGAGGACGCCGAGGATGTGGACTATGACGACATTCTGGCCGTCATCGACCACCGGGGCGGAAAGAGCCCGCGCCGCCGCACGCGCGCCGGCCGCTCGTACTCGGACTTGCGCACGCAGCCGCTCTCCCCCCTCGCGACGGATGGGCGCGCGACCCCGTCGTCGCCCTCGCCCAGCTCGCCCCTCCTCACCGTCCCCGGAGAGGAGGACGGACTGCACCACCGCCGCGCGTACCGCGCCAACATTGACGCGCACGGCGAGCCCATTCGTCCCGACACGCCAGACTCGAACGGCAACGGCGTCGCGGGTATCGCGGGTATCACGGGCCAGGGCGCGCTCGGCTTTGACAAGGGCGAGTAAAGCCTGAGCCCGAGTCTGAGGCGAAAGCCTCAGGCGAGGCGCCAAAGCTTGGACGCTTGACGAGTCAGGCGAACATAAGAAACCAGAACAGAACCACAACCACGCAAACAAGCAGCGACAACGCAAACGCAACGCAACGCAACGCAAACGCATAGAGCTCTCCTCTCCTCTTCGTATATTCAGTTTTATAGGCATATATTTCTCCCCCTTTCCCCCCAACGAATCCATTTCCCAACTTTATAGCAAGCGCAACTCCAGCAACCGCTCGTCTCTAGCCTCGCATGATGCAACCAGACTCGGACAGTAACGGCACTGTATGGTGTGCATTCATGATATCTACGTGACGTGCAGTTCGTGTTCTGCTCGCGATCGCTGGCGTTCGGCTCGCCGGCTCGCCGGCTCGGCTCGCGGCTCGCGGCTCAGTCGTCCTCGTGCTCGTCCTCTGCCCGCTTCAGCACGTCGAGCACCATCCTTGCCGCCGGCTCGCTCCCGTCGCTCTGCCCCTGGACGGCCTTGCGGATAAGCTCGCGCTTCTCCGCGTCGCCATGCCGCGACAGCCAGAGGACATACTCGCCCTCGCTCCACCCGTGTACTTGGTGGGGCAGGCTGAGGGTGAGAGGGGGCTCGCTGCGCGCGAGGATGCAGTGACACAGCGTATCCACCGGCAGGGGATGCGTCAAATGCTCGTCCTTGAGTCCCGCGAGATCCGCAAATAGAAGCTGCCGGAAGGCGCGGAGGGCGGCGTACTCGTCCCCGATCGCTTCGAGGCGCGTGCTGGCGCTCGCGCGCTGCCCCGGGATACGGCCGACGTTGACAAAGTTTTGCAGCGCCATCTCGAGCTCGGTCATGTTGCTCGTCAACCTCAGCTTGCCGCTCTCGCTCGCTTTCAGGAGAGAGGCGTGCGAGAGGAACTGCGCCGAGAGGGTCTGCGCTAGCCGCAGGACCCAGGAGCGCAGCTCCGAGCCCAGAGCCAAACGGCCCAGCAACTCCCCCCTAAGGAAGCTGAGCTTCGTGACCAGGTCGGTCATGTAGGCTGAGCCCTGCATGGACTGGGCCGGGTCGAGCGACTTGCTCCAGTCGATACGGTGCATGCGGCCCAGGATTGAGGCGAACTCTTTCCGGATCGCGGCGTCGAGGGCGTCGGTGATCCTCCGCCAGGAGGCTTCGAGCGATGACACAGCCGGCGCAAGGAGGGCGTCGACCGTCGACGAGATGGAGAGCTTGGACAGCTGCAGCGCACAGTGGTACATGCACGAGGCAAAGGAGGCATTGATGATCTGCGCCGGCGTCGCGGTCGGGCCGATGAGCGACGTTGCGGTGAAGTCGCGCACAACCTGGGGTCAGCTACCGGTCCTCAATTGTACAGCTGAACGGCTGAAGTCACTCACGTTTGCGTCGACCTTGCTTCGCAGCGAGGCAAGCACCTTGGCCGCATTGCCGGCAACAGTGCGGACGAGCAACGGGTCGAACCGCGCCGCGTCGAGCTCGTTCGCAACAGCACGCGCGACGGCAACGCCCTCCGCAGCCCCAGGTGCGGTCTGACGGGCAGAGCTGTACTGCGCCATGGCGCTCTTGACCGCGTCATCCATCCTTCCGCTGCTGCGGGAGAGGTACGCCGCCTCAAACGCAGACACGGAGCGGAGCACGAGCACCGCGCTCGGCGACTGTGAATCCTGCGTGTACGCCGTGTCGGTCGCCACTGCGATCTGCGCGAAGAAGCCGTGGAACAAGCGCAGCAAGCGCGGGTACCCGCTGCTGAGGGCTTGCAGAAGCCATCCGTTCGCTGCGTGTGAGCTGGCACACTGCTAGAAAAAGACACAGCTATGGGAAGCCTAACTTACCCTTCTGCGCGTCTTTGGCTTGCTTCTCGAAGGCGCGAGCCAGCGTCGTCCAGAAGGTGAAGCTCGGCGTCTCGTCAAGCCGCATGAGCACTTCGTCGAGGAAACTGCGCTGCGTCACATTGTCCCGCTTCACCTTCAGCACCTTTTCGAGCGTGTACACCTGTTTTGTCAGCTCATCAGCACAGCAAAAGCTCACCTTGATGCAGCAGTTGGCAACGTCGTCCATGACCTTCTCGAGGCGGGTCCAGAGCACGGCCTGCCACTGCGCTGCGGCGCCAGAGCTCGGCTCAGTCTGTGCCCGTTTCGTCGTGAACCGGATACCGCCGCCTTCCTTGCCTGACACTTCGCGGCCGATCGCGGCCGAGTCAAAGGCCCGGCGCACGCGCTGTCCGACCGCATCGTTCAGGTCCGCAACGAGGTTGCTCACGAGCTCGGGGAGGAGGCCGAGATTGTGCGCCGTCTGCAGACTCGAGCTGAGCAGGGGCTGGTTCAGGCTGCCGAGACCCGAGACGACCATGGCCTCCATCTCCGTGATGATTGCATCGCGTGCCTTGTCGACCAGCGGGGCGTAGGCTTGCACAAAGTCCAACGTTTGCAGCGGGATCGGCCCACTGCTGCCCTCTTCCCCGTCCTCGCCGCCGTCTCCATTTTCGCCCTCGTTCTCTGTCGCTCCGGGTGCCAGGAGAGCGTCCAGCTCTGCCACGCTCAGCGCAGCCTTGGCGAGCTCACGTTCCTTCTCGCCTTCTCCCTGAGCATCTTTCGGCGCCGCGCGCACGGCCTCCATCTGCGCCTCGAGGCGGCGCGCAAGGAGGACGAAACGAGACGCTCGTCGCGTCAGGTCGCTCGCCGTCGCGAGAAGACTCAACCGGCGCACTAACAGCGCGAGTTGCTCGTGCGGAACGTGGATCTTGCTGTGCAATCGGTCGATGCTTCCAGACAGCGATGTGAGGGAAGACTTGATCGGCGCCAGCTGCGACGACAGCGCAAGTGACGTCGTCAGGTGGTTCAAGAGTAACGGGTACGATGTCGTGATCTGATGTCAGCTTTGGCGAGCCTCGCCTAGCTACACAGGCGCAAGTCTGTGTCTGCCCTCCGAAGAGTGTTGCAGGGAAGGGGTACCCCGTCCAAGAAGCACTCACCTCTTGCCTCAGTTGCCGCGTGACATCGTCAATCGCATAGTTTAACCTCGCAACCTCAACTCCAAGGTCGCCCTTCTCCGTCTTCGTGGCCGACGCCTCGGTGTCGTCAGGTCGGTACGCCCGGCCCTGGATCACCGCGTTTGCATAGTCGTGCACGTCGAAGCGGTCCGAGAGGAACGGCTGGTGATCTGAAGTCAGCTACGAAACGCCGAAACTTAGCCAAAGACGAGTTTGTGGTCACAGATAGTTGCGATTGCCATGGAGAAGCAGCGGGGAGGACAGTCCGTTGCAGGTCGAGCAAGGCCAGTGACAGGGGCAAGGCATACTCTGAGATGCGTCCGATGCCTGTGTGAGGGAAAGGCCTGCAATACTCACCAATAAACGACTCTGCGGTCACCGTCGAGCGCCGCTGGGGATGCCCATGGTGCTCCGTCATCTGCTCTCGACTTTGATGGGTGTTGCGACGGAACATGAGCCGATGACATGACCACAGCGTGAGGTGGAGGCCGGGGACGTGTGGAGGCCAACACGGCTGCGGACAAGAATCGATGTCCGCTTTGAGCTAAGTGCAACTGCCAAAACAGCGGATCGTGTAGGACTGCATGCAATATGAGGTACAGAGCACGTTGGCCATAGGGATGGAGTAGTAGCGGGTATCAAGAAGATGGGGAAGGAAAAGGTGCGTTGCGCTGTGCGATTGCTGTTTTTGGCTGAATATAAAGATTGTCCTCTACAGAGCTGGATACTACTGCCTCCCCTATCCGTCATCTCTCCGAGATGCTCCTGCTCCAACTCTCCGCCATTGGATGCTGTCGAATAGCGTGTAAGGCATGCAAAGCTGTCAAAGCCGCACGCGCTTTTCATTGTTTGTTTGAAGGAAAGCTGTGAAGTGGTCGCAGATGTACTGCGGCCCTGGTAACGATTGGAAGGGTACTGTGACGTTTTCGGTATCGAGATATTATTGATTATTAGCCGTGGGGCGGGTCGTATACTGTAAGTGTGGTTGTGTGCATGATATAGTGATGGGTTGCTGATGTGAAGATGATTGAGGTCGAGAGATAGGGGCAATTATTGCTGCAGTCGGAAGTCGCGCTGAGACGAACAGCGGCAGTTTGAGGTGAAGGAGAGGAGCCGTGAGACACTCTGCGGCGTGAACGCGCTCACGCCCGAACGCTCTCCGCCCAAGCCTGCATCTGGTCCGACGTGACTGTCGACTTGCGGATCCACTCGGATTCCTGCGCCGTGTCAGCTATGAGTTCAACCACGTAGCCTGGGCCGACCCCCCGCCCAGTCGCGGTCGAGCGTTATGTAACTGCCTTGCACGTTACGTGATGTGATTACGACACCCGGAATCCAACGCTGACCGCTGCGCCCGTACCGAACCGACACACCGGAGGCTCTTAGGACACCGTTGTGCCCAACGCAGGCGGATGCGGGATATCCAGGGTGGAGGGCAGACGAAAAAGACTCACCAGAAGCTCCTGCGGACTTCGACGCAGCATCGGGTCCTTGTCAAGACAGCCGTCGATGAAGTCTTCTGCCGCAGCCGGGAATGTCTTCTTCGCAGTGCTGAGACGGGGAGCGGGCTCGTTGACGATGTGCTGCAGCAGATCGAGAATCGACATCGTCATGCCGCCACCGCCGAGCGAAACTCCCCGCTTGCGATGGCGCTTCTCGCTGGGGATATTTGGTCGCTGCGCCGAAACAGGAAGCGTCGGGTCCGGGTCGTACTCCTCCTCGGACTCCTCACCAGACTCAGGCGGGTCGGCGAAGGGGAACCGTCCTTGAGCGAGTTCGACGAGGGAAATGCCCAACGACCAGACGTCCGACTTGATCGAGTACGGTGCACCTTGAATGCGCTCCGGCTGTGGCAGTCAGAAGCTGCCGATCACGCCCAAACAAAGCACACTCACACTCATGTACGTGCTGGTTCCCACAAACGTGTTGGCGATTGAATTGATCAGTTCACCGGCGACGCCGAAGTCACAAATCTTGATTTGACCGGCGGTATTGGCCAGGATGTTGGACGGCTTGATGTCTAGAAGAAATTAGCGGCCACTGGCTATTCCAGTACTCACCGCGATGAATGATGCGGTGCACGTCATAGAGGTAGACTAGTCCGCGAAGCACAGCCTCGGCGACCTTACCAACAATGTCAATCGGGATTGCGCCTGTTCGGCGATAGATGTGGTCCAGGGAACTAATCGTCAGTCGCACGGCCTGGCAGCGGTTCCGTCCACACGTACCCTAGGTCCATGAACTCCATGACGATGCCGACGTGGACATCGGACGGGAAGCAACCATAGTAGGCGACGATGTGAGGTGAATTGCACTCGCTGACAATCTGCAGCTCGCGAAGAATCTGCTTGCGAACGGAAGGCTTGGCATCGACGAGGATGAGCTAAAAGCGTTAGTAACCGCGATTGGAAGAGCGCCTTCTTCCTTACCTTCTTTGCCATGATGCACTTGCGCTTCTTGTTCCAGACTTTCGTAACCGTGCCTCCGTTACCAGCTCCCAGGTCGGCGAGGACCTCGAGATCCTCATCTTTCACCAGGTCGTCATCGTTCTTTTTGCGCTTGCCGTTCGTCTTTGAGTGCTTGCGAGACGACGATGTGGCATGAGAGCTGTGAGAGCTGTGAGACGACTTGGAGCCTCCATCCTGCGTAATGGGTTGCTTGGTGCTGGTGGTAGGTGTAGTCTGTCCACTGTGCACGCGACGAGGAGGGCGGGGCGGCGGTGCACCAGCGGAAGAAGGGGGCGCAGGTGATTCCAGTGGAGGAGAATCAGGGCCAGAGGCGTACGAGGAAGAGCTTGACTTGGAGCTCAGCTGGAGTCTGGCGATCTCATCACGAAGCCGGTCAGCTTCTGGGATCCAGTTGCTATCGCCGCTGTTCTCAACGGCAGGACCGCCAAACAGTGATGACGCTGAGCGAGTCGGCTTGGGAATAGACTTTGAAATGTCGAGACCAAGCGGTTTCTTGCGAGATATGGACGACTTGACAGAGCCGAAGGTGGAAGCGGATGCTTTGGAGCCGGTCGACGCGTCTAGCGCAGGCGAGGACTGTGACGACAAGAATGGGGGACGCGTGGGTGCTGGGCGCAATCGATCCTCCAAGGAGTTACCAGACATGTTGGGAAGACGGGGATATGAGTGTGCTTATGAGGCGAAGAACGGGTACTGTCGGGTTGGCGAAGGTGGGTGCACTTGGGCAAGCGAGAGCGATCAGAAGGGGATATTGAGGAGGACAACGAAACGGGGTGAATCGATGAGGAAGGTATCGGAGTAGGCGTGGGCCGTGGGACAGTGGGAGAAAGAGTGTAGTGATGATGTGGACGAGTGATGGATTGTTGAGGATGAGGAGGGAGGAGGGAGTGACTTGGGTCGAGTGGTGTGGTTGAATGGATGCTGCAACGATGCAGTGTAAGGGCTACGGCTACGGCTAGGGTGGATGGAGGTTAGGCTGGGTGCTGCCGAGTGGCACGCCAGCGGCCAGCGGGCTCAGGTAGCAGCAGCCCCGGCGCCCAGCGCCCAGTCGAACGCCAGGTGACGTTCGCCTTTCCCCGCAGCAGCACCGTGAGCGAGTGAGTGAGCAAGGTGAGCGACACGCGACACGAGCCCCGCCCTGGCTACTATGCGGCTGATCAACGGAAGTAATCTTCCAATTCACCTGTAATTGAAGCATTAGGACACCGCCCGCCAAAATCTAATTCAACAACAGCATAAGAAAAAGTCATGGTCGATGGAGAGCAGCACCAGAGAGAGATCCACGCGTCCAAAGCGATGGTGGCTGCGACGCCGAGGATGACATGGACATGTTCGGGGCCCACTAGACCACGCCTGGTGTTCCCGAATGGCAGTGTGGTTGCGACGCGCTCCGAACAGCGCTGTGGGTTGCCCGGTGGGTGGCACCTGCAACGACATGGAAGTGGCCCAGCGGAGTGGGCTGTAGACCATGCATAGACGACGACGAGGAGATTAGGAAGATGAGGACCGGGCTCTGGGTGTGCAGGGGCGTTGGGCTGGGTGATGACGGAAGAGAGAGAGAGAGGAGAGGCACACGGGCGCGGGAGGTCGAGACATGAAATGCAGGGTCGGGCGCCAGAACGACCTGACCTATGGCCTATGGTCTGCCTGCGCGAGCTGCCGGGCTGCGCGAACCGCCGCTGAACATACATGACTGGGACGTGTGACTGGGCACGCGTGTGATAGGCCACGCGGAACGCACGCACCGCGGCATCGACCCTCACCATCCCACCAGTGCCAGAACCCGTCCTGCCTAGCCTGCCTCTCGCACTACTCGCTGCTGTTCTCCAGTTTCGATGCGTGCAAGCCGCGTTCAGGTCGATCTCGCCACCTCTTCCGGCGCCAGAACGCCAAGACCCCACTGTCCGAGCCGATATTCCATCTCAATGCAGCCACAACGGTGAACCATCGGCGCCTAGCCAGCTAGAGAGCCGTCGCTCTCGGGACATAATCCGGCCATACGATGCAATGCTATGACAGCAGCGAACTGATCAGGCAGTGGACGGGTATGGCTATGTATGTGACCAAGGGCACGACATGAAAGAAGGGAGGGGAGGGAGTGTGTCTAGCTGCGTTGTTGGAATCTTAGGTTGGAGCGTGTCGAGAGATTGGCGCACCAAAAGACGCGGTTCCGTAAGACAGGTGACCATGAGTGAACGGGGGTGGCAAGAACAAGGGCCCAAGGGGTTGGCAGCGCGGCGGAGGAGGCCAAGGAAGGAAGGAAGGAAGGATGGATGCACAGGAACGCGTACTCCGGCTGACACCTGACACCTCCTGCGCGCCTGCCCGCGCGCTCTCGGCCTCTCGCGGCTCTGCTCGCTTTGCTTCACCAAGCATGACCCGCCATGCATCCGACCCACTTCCCCAACCGCACCCACCCGACACCTCCTGACCTGACTTGAACAATCCACCTTGCACTCCTCTCTCTGGCATCACCACACACACACACACACACACATCTATACACACACTCAGCATTGCTCGCTCTATCCACCCCATCAACACACCGCCCAACCCCACGCCCTCTCATGATCCCTTCCCGTCCTCTCATCTCAGTCTGGCTGGTCTAGGCGCACCATACGTCACCAAGCCATTCACACCCGCGCGCCAGTCCATCCAACTTCATTATACCCCTCTGCGGTAATTTAACCTCAGTCCCATCCCACCGTACCTAAGGTCCTCAACTCAATCTCGGCTCAGTCAACAAGTCCAAGACCATCCATCCAACAGCGAGCGAACACTCCGTCGCACAGAGCTGCACCGTCCGTCTGGCAGCGAGCGAGCAAGCCACTATGGCTACAGACTCGCCCTCTCCGCGCGCGACTCTCCCTCCCCCGATCCCTCGCAAGCATCCTTCCCGCCAGTCCATCTCACACTCAAACTCAGTGTCCCCGGCTTCCGAACGCTCGCGTAGGCCCTTCCCAGACTTATCGTCGTCTGGAGGTTCTGTCGGATCGTCGTCCGAGTATGGCAGCAGCAGCAACCACGGCAACTCTACGCGCCAGTCTGATCAGTATGACAATGACCACTCACATCTGCGCGCGTCGCCTTCGGGCCTGATCGCCCCATCACCGACACACAACGCCACATATTCCTCTTCAAGGGGCCCCCTCAGCACGGGCTCTGTCAGCGGCGGTATGGCCGCGAATGTTGTTGGGCTCGGGTCGACTCGCGTCATGGACTTCAAGGACTGGGTCAAGGCTGGACGCGAGAGCCGAGACGAGACTTCTCCCAAACAGAACGGAGACACCGCCCACAAGTCTGAGGTGAGTTTACGCTCTGCGTTATCATGACTGTATCAGGACCCGTGGCTGACACTAAATAGCACCATCGCCATCAACACTCGCCCGCGACCAACACGCCTCCACCTCGCCCCCGCGCGAGCTTAGACGTCAACAGCTCATCATCCATCCCATCATCCCACTCCATCGCCCATTCCATGTCCTCCATCAGCATCGACTCGTCTCGAAGTCCGGAGATTGAGAGCATTCGCTCCCCGCTCGAGCGGTCGACGGACAGACGCGAAACGCCCCCATTGGATTCGAGCACATCCACTGCGCGTCGGCTGTCGTACGAACTCGGACGGCACGTCAACGGATCCTCATCAAACGGAACGTCTCGCCGCCTGAACTCGCTCTCGCCGAACCATGATGGATACTCGTCGCCGAGGGACAACCCCAACTCTCCGCTGGAGCGTCGGTTCTCACGTCGGTTGGCAATGCCGATGGGACGCGAAACATCAAGCGGCACGGTCGGCACCGTCACGGAAGAGGAGGAGCTGTTAGAAGGACACAGTGACCACCGAACTGTCAGGAGACAGCAGGCTGGCGGCGCTGGAGCGGAAGGACCAGGGCCCTCGCTCGACGAGCGAATCCGGCAGGCAGAGGAGAAGCTGTCGCGTCGACAATCCGCGAACAGCAATAGGTTGTCTGGCGTGTCTGGGACTGTGGTGGCGACACCCCCATCAGGGCGAGTCACCCCCCTCAGAAGATTCGGTCACGGATCTCGCGCGAGCCTTTCTTCTCGCGCCCCAATGTCACCGACACAGATTTCCGGTGGACGCCCGAACGGACACGGCGCATACGACGCTCGAGAGCTGGATGTGGAGCCCGAGTACGAGCGTGACAGAGACAACAGCAGCTCCGGTGGTTCCCGCAACCTCGGCAAGGTGCGGCCGTCACTGCCCACGGACTTCCAGAATGGACGCATGGTAAGTACTCGACGATACGGACTGCATTGCTGACACTATCAGCTCTCACCATCCCCAAAGCCTGGTGACGGACGTGACGGTCCCACGCTAAGGAGACCACTCCGGTTTAGCACGATCGATACGCAGCAACCGCCAGGACGGCACCCATACGATCTCGAGTCGCCCAGCGCACAGTCGTTTGCGACTGCACGGCCCGCAAGCGGGATGGGTCATCGCGACTCACCGTGGCTTCGGGATCGACGGGAAGCGCGCGAGGAGCTGCTGCAAGATTTCGACTCGCCGCGCCGCGAACAAACGCACGGCCGCGCCGGCAGCGTGCTCGAGACCGCGTCCGACCGGTACCGATATGGCCTCAGCGGGTCGCAATCCCACTATCGCCTCAGCCACATTGCTAGCAGCAACGACATTGGCTCTCACGGCTCGCATGCCACCCCGGCCTCGCGGCGGATCAGCGCGCTTCTCGACCGCAACCGCGACTACAGCAGTCAGCGGGACCTGGCATCGATCGCCGCCGGCGACACGTCGACGATCTCTCGGCATTCCCGGGATTACGCGCGGGACTCGCGAGACTTGCGCGAGTTTGGCAGCTCGCGCGCCCTTGGACCGAGCGACTCTGTCTCTGCAGTCGGTTCTCGGGAGGGAGAGCCAGGACGCAAGGATCCACTCGAGGTTCTACGCCGACTCGAGGAGACTCGCAGCCTGCACAACCGACGTTGGGAGGAGGACCGCGCCGCCTCAGTCCTGGGCGACCATCGCGACCGGTCTGCTAGCGCGCTCGGTGATTCGACGGGAAGCGGGGGTGCGTACCGCTCAGCGTCTGTTATGGGCGACTCGGCCGGAGGACGCTACCCTTACCGCGCGCCATCGCGGCTCGACGATGCCAGCGGACGTGCGGGCTCGCGATTGTCCGGCACGTACCGTGTCACCCCGCGATCGGCCACGAGCACCGGCAACTACTACGAGACGCCACGGACAGCGCCTGCTCTGCGCCGCTTCCCGGTCGAGGATCCGCTCGACAGCCCTCTGCACGGACGGGGTGGCCCGCCTAGTGTGCTGCACCCCGTGTCCGAGCCGCGCCCCCGACGGAGCCAGACGTCGTTCGGCTCGCGCGTTTCGGGAGCCTCCTTTAGCTCTGGCGCCGAGACCGATCATGGACGTAATCTGGTGGATGCGGCCCGCGTGCTCGCCAAGGGCGACAACAACGTCAGCGCGGCGACGATCGCAAAACTCGGAGCCGTCGCCGACGTGATGGAGCGCGCGAACACGGGTGTGCGTGCTGCTGCCGCGATTGCGGGCGAGCTCGCGCTGGATCTCGACACGGACTCGAACGCCACGGTGCGCGATCGCCTGCCCCGACTGCAGATCACGCTGCGCGAGGCAGGCCGGGCTAGCGACCAGGCCGTCCGCGACCTGACGGAGGCTCTGCTCGGTCTCCGTAGTGGGAGCGGTGCCGCGGGTGCCGGCGGAGCCGGAACACCAGCGCAGACGCCGGCGCGAAAGGAGTATGGGCACCGGCGTGTATTCTCGACAGCGTCAACAGCCAGCTCGCCCGCCGTGCGCCCACCGCGCAGCGAGAGCATCTCGTCGCTCGCCTCATTAGCTCGTGAGCGGGGCACGCCCCCGCGCGGCGGGCTGGAGGCGATCGAGCAGTCACCCCCAAAACCGCCGAGCAAGCGCGCCTCGCTCGATTTGCACAAGGTGCAAGCCGCGCCGAACGTGGACGGTCCCCCGTCTCCGGCCCCAACAGACCCAGACTCTAAGGAAGTCCTATCCTCGTCTCGCTCCCCGCCCCGCTCCGGCTTCCCCGAGGGCGCGGAGCGTGTGCTGCGGAAACAGGCCAGCACGCTGTCAACACACACGGTGCGCCAGCGGCCCCTCTCCTTTGCGCCCGCGCACGCGCCCGAGCCCACGACGGCCGTTAGTGCCACCGTCGCGTCGCCGAATAGCAAGGACCGGAGCGCACAACCGGCAACGCGCCGCGACAGTGTGCTAAGCGTGAGCTCGATTCTGAGCGAGGACGCGCGCGGCGCCGACCTCCAGCGCAAAGGCACGTTCGGGGCTATGGACGCGGTGAAGGTCAGTGGGAAGCGGGAGAGCGTCAGCGAGCGGTTCCGGAAACACCTTAGTGGCGAGTAGGGCTGCGTCATTGAGGAGGAGCCCGGGCTCGAGGGGACGATGCTGTGACGGGCCGTCGTCGTGGAAGACAGGCGCGTTGTCGGGCACAGCGTGTCCCTCGCGTGCCGACTGCGTGTCGACTACGTGCGCGCTGCACGTCGTCGACAGGGAGCGACAATGCTATGAC